TTCTCCTTTCCCTGGGTGGATGAGAGTCACGCCTCCCACTCTCTGTAATGGGATCACATGAGAGTCGATCCGTTGGTGCAGTCACAGGGACGTGCTCGACACGCACTGACACTCTTCCCGTAAGTCATAAATAGAGGCGCCCAGGGCAAGCCGAAAATCGTGCAACAGTACGGCTCTCCTGTCCCGAAAAAATGCGGAATCTCTGACTTGTATCTCTCACACTGAAGCCTCATACTTTGACTACTTTGTGTCTCTTACGTTTTTCTAGGAAACAGACATTTTTGAAAATCTTCCTGAAAGCTCAGCTGGATATTAAAAATAGGTCTCAGCAGGAACTTAGGGAAGCCTTGTTTTATTTTTATTCCCCTGCACGTGTCCCATGACAACTGGAAATTAGATCACTGTGAAATCGACTGTTTCCCGACTGCAGCTGTATAGTCTCTGGTGATGCCCATGTCTAAAGTTGAAATCTTAGTACCTAATGATGACTCAACGGCGACTCATGCGTAAGATATTTATTATTCTGGAGTAACATTTAGGGCACTTTTCCACCGTCCAGGTACCATACGGTATGATCCTTTCAGTACTTTCCCTTTTCCATTGACTTTTGGTCGAGTACCAGTACCGAAAGTTCCAGTACCGAAACTGGTAGATTGGTTATGCAGATAGCCTGCCTCTGAAGCACAATACAACTGCCTTTTTGTAAAAAGTAAATAAAGATAAAAGAAGTAAAAAATAAAAGTAATTATAATGGATGCTTGGACAAATGAAGAGACTCGAATTTAAATTGCGATCTGATCGTAAGAGTGGATACAACATGATCTAGGAGATGTGTAGGAGAATTTATTGTGCATTTTAACCTTTATATGCTAATTCGTACTTCATTTGCGGTATAGAGGTTAAAATGCATGATAAGTTCTTGTCATATTGGCGCAAATGCACATAAAATACGTACGCATTCGCACTGTTGCAGCAATCGATTGCCGCATGTATCGCTTTTAAAGGTGAAGGCGTACTTGCATACCGGTTATGTCAATCCCTGGCTATAATGTCTATATAATATGAAGGTATGAAAAAGCCTGATCTCAATATAGCTCTTTAGTTATGCAAGAATTACATGTGCATAACATGTGATGCTGGTATTAATATCACACAGTGTCCTCCCCTATAATATACTGCAGCCATTTTGTACTGATTTTCAAAATCAGTACAAAATACCCTGCCTCAGATTGTGATGTAATTTAGCACGGTGCCAGTTTTAACAAGTGGAAAACCAACACCTTGAAGTACTGTACTTTTGGTACTTTCTTGAAGTACCGAAAGTACAGTACCTGGTGCAGTGGAAAAGGACCTTTGGTGTAATCATTCAGACTTCAATAATGCTGTAATGATACTGGGATAACCAATGTTTCTTCACAGATATGTCAGCAGGTGGCAGCACTGAGTGTCTTCAGTTTGCTGCAGAAACATACAACAACTATCCTATTTGCTTTTCACAGGGCAAGCCCTACGTGTTTGACCGGGTGTTTCCATGCAACACCACACAGGAACAGGTGTACAACACCTGCGCCAAGCAGATTGTCAAAGGTGAGCCACGGTCTCATTACACGCGTGCGGAGTGGAGGAAATGAAGGGAATTAGAAAGATGGCGATCTCAGCTGGTCGGGGTGGAGGGTGGGATCCTCGTAACCTGCACGTTGGGGCATCTCCTGCATGCTGATTGCGTGTATTCATCAATTAATTTAATATTAAAAATATTGAGGAAAATAGAGATAGAGCTCAGGTCTCAGGTTCACATTTCATGATGTTGGTTTTGATGGTCTTCTGGGACTTCATTAGCTGTCTGTTTTGGTACAGATGTCCTGGGAGGATATAATGGCACAATCTTTGCTTATGGACAGACTTCTTCAGGAAAGACTCACACTATGGAGGTAAAAGTCAAAAAATATTAATGAGCATACATCTTATAATTCTGGATTGGTAAAACAATTTTTCTTATTCATTGTCATGGTTCAGGAATGGATGGATGGATGAGTTAGCCAATAGCTCAAGTTGTGTTTGGTCCTTCACTGTTTTGTTTTTCTTTTCCAGGGAAAACTGCATGACCAACAAGAAATGGGAATCATTCCTCGGATCGCTGAGGACATTTTCAATCATATCTTTACCATGGATGAAAACCTGGAATTCCACATCAAGGTGCGGATACACAGTAAAAACAGATGAGTCAGGGAAAGTTAGGTCACTTAGATGTTTGAAACTCGCAGCTTATTCTCCTTGGCAGCTCTTAGGACCCTGAGCAGATCTTTTACATTCGTCTTTAGCATTAATGTCCATATGCCATGTGATTTTTGAACCAACCAAAGTTGGTTATCCCTCAGCCCATGCCAATGCATGCTTAAAACCTTTTGTCTAACTAAATGTTGGACTAAAACATCCTCTTTTGGCTTGCAGCATTATCTGGTATAATTCTGGGCAATGGGATTCTTAAATGTTGTGGTTATGATCACATTCAAATGGACTTCATTTTGTAACTTGCTGTTTTTTTTTCTGAAATTGTGATAGTAACAGTCCTTTGTAAGCGCTCCGTTGTTATGTCCGCTATCATCTTTCTAGGTCTCTTATTTTGAAATCTACATGGACAAAATCCGTGACCTTCTGGATGGTGAGTTTCCAGTAGGAATAAATCCCTATCATACTGCTTTAACAAAAACAAACTGCTGTACTAATGATCTGCAGGAGACTAAAACAGACGTCCTTGTCACCAGACAGGTTCTTTGAGACCAAAGAGCCATACATGTGATTAATAGTCAAAGTAGCCTTTAATTGCTGACTTGTAGCATGTGTGACATTCACTGCTTTCTGCCTGCTTTTATGGTTTAGGTACAGAGTAATGTGGCCTTTTATGTTTTTTTCTTTCTTTATCAGTAACCAAGACCAACCTGGCTGTTCATGAGGATAAGAACAGGGTTCCTTTTGTTAAGGTCAGTCCGGTCATTTTGGGGAAGAATGCGTGTAAGTCCCAGTGACCTTACTCAGGATCATGGTTGGGGGGTGGATGAAAGGATGCATTGCCCTGTGCAAATTTAACTTTTACAATATATTATATATATTATATAACTAAATTGCTTAAAATTTACCCTCCTTTTTCCAAAGTTTTGGCTTCATCTTTGTGTCATTCCTGTCATCTCTGTAGGGCTGTACTGAGCGGTTTGTGTCCAGCCCAGAGGAGGTAATGGATGTGATCGATGAGGGGAAGGCCAATCGGCATGTGGCTGTCACCAGTGAGTCCCGCCCCTCCCCCCCTCCTCCAATCCAGTCATTTTCACTCCCTGCTGCAGGGCCATTCGTACTGATGGGTGCCAACCCACCTTCTCCCCTCACGCAGACATGAATGAGCACAGCTCTCGCAGTCACAGCATCTTCCTGATCAATATCAAGCAGGAGCACATCGAGACGGAGCAGAAGCTCAGCGGCAAGCTCTACCTGGTGGACCTGGCTGGCAGTGAGAAGGCAAGTCCTGCAAAGGCCTCGTTTGTTCATCAGCGGAGCCACTGAGGGCCCGAAGCCCAGTCATGTGACTCATATCCTTGGCCTGAAAGTGACCCTGTGGGTTTGCCTCACATCTCATCCTATATGGAACGGAAAAGCTTCCAAAAATATATTTACAAACTTTCCAAGATGAATCCATAATATACATGGAATATGAAACTGCATGTCAAGATATATGTCATATTTTAGGCCCATGCAGAGATAGGTACATTTTTACACTTTCAGCCCTGTCTCCAGCACCTCAGTATGTTTATAAATGTGCTTAATATATAAATATGCCTGTGCCCCCCCCCCCTCGTGAAGCGTCTGACTTTAGTGTGTCCTCCACCTCTCCCTGTGCTTGCATTTCAGGTCAGTAAGACGGGTGCTGAGGGGGCTGTCCTGGATGAAGCCAAAAACATCAACAAATCCCTGTCTTCTTTGGGTAACGTCATCTCTGCCCTGGCTGAGGGGACGGTGAGTTGCCCCCCCCCCCCCGCCTCCTACACGTGTTACATACAGGGGCCAAAACAGAACACATGGGCCTGTTTGTGCATCAGAAGGGCAACAGTTGGTGCAATAGTTAAGCATATGGGCCCATAACCTGATGGTTGCTGGTTCTCTGCAGGGGACCAGCTGTTGTACCCTTGATCAATATGCATTACTCTAAAATAGCTTAATTTTCTTTCGTAAAAAGGAGCTTTAAAAACATGTCACTTGTTTTAGGATGCATCCTAAATGCAACTTTCTATATGCCACAGTCTTGTTTTATTATTTTTAAATCATTCTTTGTACTTGTGCTTCTGTACAAATGCAAATGACAAATAAAGTTTTAGCTCAGTTTGGGAAAAAGCAGTAAGTTTGGAAGTTCTCGTCTGAGTTCTTTCGGACTTCTCGGCCACGCAGAAAACCCACGTGCCGTACCGCGACAGCAAGATGACACGGATCCTGCAGGATTCGCTGGGCGGTAACTGCCGTACCACCATGTTCATCTGCTGCTCGCCGTCCAGCTTCAACGACGCCGAGACCAAGTCCACCCTCATGTTTGGCCAGCGGTAACACGTCCTCCTCCGTTTTGCTCACGTCCTTCTGTTTCGTTGTTGTCCCTCGAAGCCCAGCATCACAACACATATCTCGTTCTTTGGTTTGTGCGGTTCCCCGAATGCCGAATTTCTGTATCCCACCCTCCAGTGCCAAGACCATCAGGAACACGGCGTCTGTGAACCTGGAGCTGACGGCTGAGCAGTGGAAGAGGAAGTACGAGAAGGAGAAGGAGAAGAACAAGACTCTGAAGGAGACCATCCAGAAGCTGGAGGCCGAGCTGAACCGCTGGCGCAATGGTGGGTGTTGGGGAACCACACACACACACACACACACAGGGTGTCACGTATGTATATAAATGTAGACATTGACATTGAGCTACATACAATACATAAATGCATGGAGGATATGCTGCATTAGTATCTCTGCAATATCAGTATGTCTTTGGGTCATTCATCTGTATAATATGTGCAATTGTATGCACTGATTTTCTTATTTATTTCTGTTTGTTATACTATCTTTTGGTCTGTTTTTTTCTATAGGCTGTTGTAACAAGTAAATTTCCCCAGTGTGGGATCAATGAAGTCTTATCTTATCTTGTCTTGTCTTGTCTTTGTCTTATCAGTTATGGAAAATGTCTAAGAAACCAGGAGAATCTAATTGTAATTTTTGTTCTTAACTTTCCGTTTTAATGCTGTGGACTGTGACAGGGTGGGATTACCACGTGCTGCCAATCAGTGACTAGCTGATCGTGCCTCCAGTTATTTCCTTGGCTTTCCATAGGGTTGTGGTCCACAGCCCACGGCAGTTACAGCAGAATTGTTCAGTGAACTGACTGCATCCTCTCGCATCTCTAGGCGAGAATGTTCCGGAAACGGAGCAGCTGAGCCCAGGGACGGTGAGGCCGGAACCCGCTGAGGAGCCCCCCCTGGACAATGGCACCTCCTCCATCGTGGTCCGCATCTCTGCCGAGGAGCGCCAGAAGTATGAAGAGGAGATACGGAAGCTCTACAAGCAGCTTGATGACAAAGTGAGAACCTGTAACACTCACACACCATGCAGTGATTTTTAAAAGCATGAAACCCCCCCCCCCTTTAAAATGATTAATGACCTTGAAAATTTACTGTGAGACACTATGAGTTTGCAGTAATAATACTGACAGGAAGAATTTGTGTTTCATTTGTAAGCTGATCATTGTAATCCGAACAATACTTTTGCAAGGCATAGTATGTACTCTATACATACAAATCCGTTCCACATAGATGCATACAATGAGCCATGCATGCATTAATGACATTCTACATGAATTAAGGGAGCCGCTGCAGGCAGGGTTCAGGCACAAAGTGAGCCTCGTGTTTGCTGTTTGAGACTGAGTGTGTTCACCTGTGTGCAGGATGATGAGATCAACCAGCAGAGTCAGCTCATCGAGAAGCTGAAGGAGCAGATGCTGGACCAAGAAGAGGTACAAACATGGAGAGTTTTACACATCACAGACAGCGCAGAGAAGCTAATTTTACCAGCCTTTTGTATAGTCTAAATGAGGTCAGCAGAGCACTGAGAGTGTGTGTGTGCATGTGTGTGTGTGGCTCTCTGCAGCTCCTGGCCTCCACGCGCGGCGATAGCGAGAAGGTCCAGACGGAGCTGGGCCGCCTGCAGATGGAGAGCGACTGCGCCAAGGCGGAGGTGAAGGAGGTGCTGCAGGCCCTGGAGGAGCTGGCCGTCAACTATGACCAAAAGAGCCAGGAGGTGGAAGACAAGAGCCTGCAGAACAAGCTACTGGCTGAAGAGCTGGCCCAGAAAATGGTCAGCACCGCTCCCACCCCCCCACCCCCCCGCCTGCCTTTCCTCCCTTCCGCCTGCACTCCCACCCTGTTGCCATGGTTTTTCATTAGTGCATCGTTCCGGGCTTTGGGTCTAGGGAGAGTTTTTTATAGAAGTCTGGGCAGGTTGATGACCGCCGGTGCCTCCGCATGGCTGCTCGTTAACCCCCCCTCGGCCTCCCTCCCCCCCACAGTCCCACCTGATGACGATCGAGTCGGAGCTGGCACGCATGCAGGAGGTGAGCGGGCAGCAGCGCAAGCGCATCGCCGAGGTGCTCAACGGCCTCATGCGTGACCTCAGCGAGTTCAGCACCATTGTGGGCAACGGCGAGATCAAGCTGGTGGGTGCATCGCACGTAACACACACACACGTGTGAACGGTCACTCCCGGACAACAGTGCAAGGTTTGATTCATACTCTCCCTTCCAGCCTGTGGAGATCAGTGGTGCCATCGAGGAGGAGTTCACGGTGGCCCGGCTGTACATCAGCAAGATCAAGTCGGAGGTGAAGTCCATGGTGAAGCGCTGCCGGCAGCTGGAGAGCTTACAGCTGGAGTGCCACCGCAAGATGGAGGAGACTGGCCGGGAGCTCTCCTCCTGTCAGCTGCTCATCTCGCAGGTGAACCCTGCTGGCCAGGGGCTGGAACCTGCTAGCAGCTTAGCATGGGTGCGATGGGTTAGTGTGAGAGGCAGAGAAAAGGAAAAAGAGAGCAGGAGGTTGAGGGGAGAAGTGAGAGAAAAAAAGAGCGGCAGACCAGGAAGGAGAAAGGGAGAGACAGGAAGAGGTGGCACTAAGGAACATGCTGGTGAAGTAGAATTATTTAAATAGTTCTTTGGATTGTCTTAGCAAGTTAGCATGAGTTAAATCGTTTGGTCTCTTGATTCTTTTAGCAAGTTACTATAGGTTAAATTTGTTAGGATTGGCGTAGCAAATTAGGACAGGGTAAATATGTTGGTCTGTGAGGAGTGTCTTAGCGAGTTCCCCTGGGTTAAGTCAGTTGGTCTATGAGGAGTGTCTTAGCGAGTTAGCCTGGGTTAAATTGGTTGGTCTATAAGGATTGTCTTAGTGAGTTATCATAGGTTAAATTGGTTGGCCTGTGAAGATTGTCTTTCTGGGTTACTATGGGTTTGACTGAAGCAGCTTGGCCATGGATGCTTACGGAGGGCACCGACAGAGAACTTTGGCCGAGGCTGAAGTGCAGATGGTGTGTGAGGCGGGTGGGTATGTGAGGCAGCTGTCACAGCGAGGTTCACGTGGATCGCTCTGAGGCGGAAGAATCAGCCCAGAAACATGTGGCACGCGAATCGGGGCAGTGCAGCTGCCTTTTTCTGAGACCTGTGTCACTGTTACAGCATGAGGCGAAGATCCGCTCATTGACGGAGTACATGCAGAACGTGGAGCTGAAGAAGAGGCAGTTGGAGGACAACTACGACAGCCTGAGCGAAGAGCTGGCCAAGCTGCAGGCCCAGGGTAAAGCCCAGACAAGGCCGAACCACACAGCACCACACTCCCTCAATGAAGGTGTGTGTGGCCTGTGATGGACTGTTATTCCATCCAGGGTGGTCTCCTGTCTGTTGCTATGATACCTGGGACAGGATCCAGATTCCCTTATGTTTCACCCTGCAACTGGCTACTGGGTGGATGGAGGAATAATCTTTCAGGATTTATATTCATCCATCCATCCATTTATCCATTTATTAATAACCACTTTTCCAGTTAGGCTTCTGGCAGTGTGGAGTCTATGCAAGCATGGGGCTAAGGAAGGGTACTGGACTGAGTGACAGTCTATGTAAATTTATATGATAGAGATATTCCAAATGTCCTTGGGTCCATCATGTTCTCATTATGTATCTGAAGACACTAATGTATTTGCCACGAAAACTAATCCGAGTTTCCTTTAAGCTGTCGTGGGCAATTTGCTGTGAGATATTCGTGAAACAGAGCCGGAGCTGAAAGATATTTTCACCGAAGGTCCCTTTGATGTGCTTTTTCAGAGTCTGTGCAGGAGGTGATGCTGAAGGAGAACGACAGATCTGTGGAGGAGCCTGCCGATGTCAAGGTAGCCATGGTGATGCTCGGGGAGTGCCGCTAAAATGGATGCCCCATCTCTGTGTACGAAACCGTCTACCTCTGTTGTGTCTCAGATGGAGTCACACCGCGAATCGCACCACAAGCAGCTGGGCCGCCTGCGTGACGAGATCAACGAAAAGCAGAAGATCATAGACGACCTCACCGAGTCAGTGTCTCCACGGCGACTCCTCTCTAAGCTAAAAATGAAAGCCACCATATGCTGTTATGCAACAGGCTTGGGATGCAAATGTTTAAAAATGTAGACCATATGTTTAAATTGTAGCTTAATTATATTGTACAATTTTTCCTGGAGAAATACTGGAACAGGTCATCCTAAACATGCTTGTACCTCACTGAGATTCAGAGTTCCTTAATTCATGAAAATTGTATTTAAGCATCTCTACATTCTGCTAACCATTAAAAATAGTTTACTTCAAATTGAGAATGAAATGAAATCTCTCTGTCTTTTAATAACGGCAGTCGTTTTAATTACCCCTTCCTGGATTTGATGTGTACTCTGCGAAACCCAAACTCACCCATGATGTCATGTCTTTCCTGCAGCCGCAACCAGAAGCTGCAGCTGGAGCTTGAACAGCTGCGTGCCGAATTTGACCGGCTGAAGAGCCGGGAACAGCACAAGAGTGTGCAGCTGGAGGAGCTGACGTGAGCGAAATGCTAGTGCTAAGCCTGAATGCTGCAGCTGAGCCTGAACATTGCCACTGAGATTAATACTTATGCTGAGCTTGAACACTGTCCCTGAGCTTAATACTGCTGCTGAGCCTCAGCACTGACTCTCAGCTTAATGCTGCTACTAAGCCTGAACACTGACCCTGAGCTTAATACTGCCAGTGATCCTGATTGCTGACCCTGAGTTTATTACTGCTCCCGATCCTGAACACTGATTATGAGCTTAATACTGCCACTGAGCCTGAATGCTGACCCTGAGCTTAATTCTGCTACTGAGCCTCAGCACTGACCCTGAGCTTAATACTGCCAGTGAGTCTAAATGCTGACCCTGAGCTTAATACTGCCACTGAGACTGAACACTGACACTGAGCACTGACACTGAGCTTAATAATGCTACTGAGCCTCAGCACTGACCCTGAGCTTAGTACTGCTGGTGAGCCTGAATGTGGACCCTGAGCTTATTACTGCTATCGTGCCTGAACACTGACACTGAGCTTAATACTGCTACTGAGCCTCAGCACTGACACTGAGCTTAATAATGCTACTGAGCCTCAACTAGTGCCAAGAAAAACACCTATAAAATGTGAACAGGAAATAATTTTTTTCCAATTTCTGCATTGTCAGATTTCTTCACGAGCGCCACGAACAATCCAGGCAGGATCTTAAAGGGCTCGAGGAGACAGTGGTGAGTTACGCTGATATTGCTTTCCCCACTTCTCTCTCTGTCCCTCTCATTTTCTCTCCTTCTTCCTCTCATTCTCTCCTTTTCCCTCCCCTCTTCTTTCTCCCTCTGGTTCTCCCTCTCTCTTTTTGTTTCTCTCTCTCCCTCCTTTTCCTTCCCTTTTTCCTTCCTCCTCTCCCTCTCCTTTTCTCTCCTTCTTACCCTCTCCCTCCATTTTTCTCTCATCCTCTTGCTGTGATCGCCGCCTCATTGCTCTTTTTCCATCCCTCAGGCCCGTGAACTCCAGACCCTCCACAATCTGCGCAAGCTTTTTGTTCAAGACCTTACGACTCGAGTCAAAAGAGTGAGTCTGGGGAGCGATCAGTTAGTCTCTTCATTTTTATCTATGACTGTGCTGGTACAAGGTGCTTTTAAGTAATTCATTCATATGAGGAAAAGAGGTAAACTTCTGAAAAAAATATATTATCAGCAAAACAATTGCCATCTAGGGCCCAGCTTCCCTCCCAGTCCGGTTCCAGTTAATTCTGGTCTCCACTTGTCCCACTAGAGTTCAGAGATGGAACCTGATGATAGTGGGGGGTCTACCACCCAGAAGCAGAAGATTTCCTTTCTTGAGAACAACCTGGACCAGCTTACAAAGGTTCACAAACAGGTCAGTGCATGGATACAGGGGTGGACTCTTTAGGTTCCGGTCTTCTGCTGTCCAGCCTTTCACCTGCCCAGTGGGTAGTATATACCTTTAGCCCTCCACACCAAGGAGAGCTTTATTTTTGAAGGGCCAGCAGAATCCCATCTCCAGTGGGTTTAGGCTCACTGAAAAACAGCGCCACCTGTTGTTGAGCTGATGAGCATGCCAGGTGTAGCACCCGATATAGTGTACGTCTGTTTAGCATGCATAGCTTCCTGATCTACCTCTACGCACTTAGCTGCAGTGTAGCATATCTGTATGTGTGCATGTCTGTATATGTGTGTTGAGGAAATGTATACGAGTATTACTGAAAGAATGAGACTGCATGTTCTTCAGCCTGCGTCAGTATAATTACATTTGTGCAAAATGCAGACAAATCAAACGGGTACTACTTTCCTCTCCATATTGCAGTGCCTGATCTTCCACTTGTGGGGTGCCTCTCATTTTCCTTAATATTTGTACTCATTGTCCTCTGTCTTAGTGTTGTTTTTGTTTCTGGTGACTGCCCCCTGCAGGTGAGGCAGCTTTACTTCAGCTGCAGACTCTTTCTCCCCCGTTCATCACCTGTCTGTCATCATCATTTGTTTGTGCCGCATGGCAGGATGACGATCAAAGAGAATAGGGAATATGGCAACACAAACATCTGTAGGATGGCAGTGTTCTTTTACATACGCGGGGTTGATCAAACAGCTTTTGTTCGGCGTGCCCGCGTGCACGTTTTTCACTCTTGAGAAACTCTCGTTGATTTCTAACCCTTCTCTTTTTTTCTTTGCCTTTCATGTTTTTGCTGCTCCTTAAGTACTGATCTAATTCTTAAAAGTCAGCAAAATTTAATTTGGTATCGATCACTCTGGATCGCAGCTGCAGCAAAAAAATTCGATATGCTGGCTATCAAGCTGCAGACGCACGTAGGTGCACTGGAGCTGGGAAGTGAAGATGGCAGTGCATTAGTGTCAGCCCGGAAACAGTCACCGTGTCTGCTGAGCTGCCCTTGTCTTCTCCCTGGAGATGGCTGGGCCAGGATGCCGACTGGGCGGGGGGTCTTATGCAGCCCCTCGCCTCTTCCTGCCGTAGTGCGTCCTCGTGACTCAGAGCGCGTTCCTCGCTGCTAACCCTCCTCCCCCTCACCCCGCTCTCCACAGCTGGTACGTGACAATGCAGATCTGCGTTGTGAGCTTCCTAAACTGGAAAAACGTCTTCGGTCTACGGCTGAGAGGGTTAAGGCCCTGGAGGGTGCACTGAAAGAGGCCAAGGAGGGCGCCATGAAGGACCGGCGCCGCTACCAGCAGGAGGTGGAACGCATCAAGGACGTCATGCGGGCCAAGCACCCGCTGCGGCGGCCCAACGTGCAGATCGGTAGGGGACCCTGCACACCAGAAAGCACAAACTAGCGTGACTGTCGAACTGCAGCCACTGCATACTAAGGAGTTGGTACTAACATAACTACTCCACGCATTTCTATTGAACCTACATGTCCTCATGAAGGTTAACCAGAGACTTGGTACTAACATAACTACTCCACGCATTTCTGGTGCACCTACATGTCCTCATGAAGGTTAACCAGAGACTTGGTACTAACATAACTACTCCACGCATTTCTGGTGCACCTACATGTCCTCATGAAGGTTAACCAGAGACTTGGTACTAACATAACTACTCCACGCATTTCTGGTGCACCTACATGTCCTCATGAAGGTTAACCAGAGACTTGGTACTAACATAACTACTCCACGCATTTCTGGAACACTTACAGGCTCATGTAACCCAAACATAACTATGTGAGTTTTCCGCACAGTATAACTACACAAGTTTTTTTTTTTTTTTGGGGGAGGGGGGTTGGCCCTTGTGCAGTCCTTGTGTTTGACAGTAACCCACCTCACCCCATCTTGTTTGCTCTTCCCCCCCAGCCAAACCCATCCGACCTGGGCATTATCCGGCCTGCTCCCCAACCAACCCGGTGTTAATGCGCAGCAGTGACCATCCCATCACCTTCAGCAACGTGCTCTTCCAGAGCCAAACCCAGTCCGCGGCCCCCCACTGCAGCCCCGCCCCGGCCCAGAACGCCATGTGAGTCACAGACACACCACTGTGCTAAATGACTGTGCCGCTTCTACTCTGTTCCACCCTAGGCTTACTGGTTGCAGAGATTACTTCATATAAACCGCTGTGTTAGTGTAAATGGATTCCCCACATGAATATGCGTGCGATGATGATAATGACGACTTGGTGAATGCTGGAGCTGGCTGTCCTTGCAGGGACAGTGTCTCTGCTCCGCGTTTGCCCACACTGCCGGCAGAGGTCAGCCGCCCCGTGCTGAATACCACAGAGGCTATGAACTCCTACCAGCTCAATGTGGACAACGGTGAGTCTCTGTGGGCAGTCGGCCAGCACAGCTCTGCCACCATGTGGCCGGCTGATGTACACGCTCTCCATAGTGACCTGCGCTCACAGCTCTCTCAATCTATACCGTGCAAATATTTATATCTGGAGATGGGAGGGAGCAAAAACGTGGACTGTCCCAGGGTCTCCACGGAGCAGGTTGGCAAACACTGGTATATTGTATGTATAAATATATTCATTGATGAATAATGTAAGTTCTACATAGATATGTGCAGTGTATATTTTTATATAGGTGTTTGTGTGTGTGTATATATATATATTCTTTTTAATAATTCCTTTAAATTGGAAAAGCTTGGCACATACATTCAAGTTATTACTTGGCTTCACCTACAGGTATATGTAAATTTTATAATTAATATAAATATTACTTTGACGGAGGAGCAGAGTAATGTAAGTTCGGCCTTCCTCGCCCTCAGACAGTGTGGGCCGGGTCTTGTTAGATCTGATGCCATAATTAGTGCAGTAAAGAGAGCCACAGGGGACGGAGAGAACTGCTCCTGTTGGTCCAGCAGGGGGCAGGATGGGTGTGTGCTCCGTTCATCTCTCTCCTTCTGCTTTGTTCACGGCTTGGTTGTTTGCCATCCGCCGGCACGACGCTCGTGATAAGGTGTGATTTCAACCCAGAATCAGTGCAGTCAGATGAGATTCATTATATGAACAGAATACAGTTGAACCAAAGAGTGGGGAGTTACTCAGGCATGCAATAAAAACAACAAGAAATAATAACAGAAATAATAACACTAAAAATCCATCCATCTTCCGGCTGCTCATCCTGTACTGGGCCAGTGTAGCTTATCACAGGCTGTATATTATAATTAAATCCCACAGTTTTGGAGCAGAGGTGTGAGCCAGTTAATAGAGTGATTGATTGGTTGCTTAATAGGTGCATCCGTAATACGTTTTTATCCAAAAGTGCCTGGAGACAGAAAGAGAGGAGATGGTGGATGCTAATTGTGTCGGGTCTTTGGTGCAGGTGAGAGGTGAAAGCGCCTTACAGGTTCGTACTCGGTCTGGTTGACAGCTTGACAGCTCCATGAGACCACAGCTGTGGCAGTTAGGTTCCTTCACGCTGCTGCGTGACGAATATGGGGCCACTCCTCACCTCCGCTCTCTTTCTTTGACAGGAAATACGACAGATATCAATGATAACAGGTGAGTCAGACCTCACGTGTTCACATTTGTAATACCATAGTGATAATAATTCCGTAGTATTTAGGCACTGTGTTTCTCTGACGTTTAGCTAGAGGCTGGAGATTGATAATGAGCGTAATTATGATAAATATTAATGATAACATTGAAGACAGATGGAGCTGCCGATGCCTTCTGAGCCGTCGCTGCGAGTCGCCGGTGCTGACAGCACCCCCTAGTGGGCCCTCTAAGTATGTGTTTATATCCAGAAGTGAGGTACCCTGCGGGATTGAAGCTGAGGACCCGGCCAAGCTGTACGTCGTCCAGCAGGAGACCGCCGCCAGCTAATGGCACGGAGCAGGTGAGCAGGGTCACTCCTTCTGCCACTGCCTTAGTGCCGCTGGGTTTAATGTGCGGAACCAGGACTTGGGGGTGTTGGGGCTGGAGTGCAGTGTGGCACTACTGTACGCGTCATGTAACACTCTCTCTCTCTCTCTCTCTCTCTCTCTCTCTCTCCTTCCCCACAGGCACCCATTCGTTCCAGAATTTTCCCATAATTCCGCATGCTGCTTATTTGCTTCCCCCTGACCTTGACATTGGCAGACCCCCATCCCCCACCCCCCACCCTCAGACTCATTTTCTCTAGTCTCTGTCCTCGGTAAACCTGTTCTTAGTAACTCCTCTTCCCTTCACACTTAATATTTAGTAGGACACTTAATGTATGCTTAGGTGCTGTGGTGAAGGCTGTAGGTTAGCGCAGGTTGCTAACCCGTGCTCCCGTCCTCCCCCCCCCCGGCAGGGTGGGGGGGGTTGTAAGTGTGTGGTTGTATTGAGTGCTGTGCGCCGAGGGAGATGCCCTGGCGTGGATCTGTGTGATATCTCATGACCCCACCCTGTGTGAGGTTCCCTTTCTGTTAAGCTTCGTAGAACCGTAGCGTAGACGCCAAGAACTCGAGGAACACGGCGACCGGGCCCAAAACGACAAACACAAAAGGAACATTATTCATCATTAAAGAGGAGATGGGCTTTTCTATTTCTTGGATGTGGCTCTTTTTCTATCCGGATAGACGTCATTGAGAGCAGGATGTAGCCCCGGTACTGGTACTGCTACGCCGTCCTAATCGCTGTGCCCCAGGTCTCGGAGCGCACCTGAGGGCAGCCATTGGCCACGTCCCGCCCCCCCACCCCTGGGCCACTCACATACACACGTCCGGGGCTCCATTACGCCTTAATGTACGACAGCTATTAACATCCTCTCAGTTACACGACGATGAACCTTACGTATACATATATATGTACATATGTGTATATACATACTCATTTAAGGCTGTTAGCATCATTGCCTGACGCTTAAAACAATGACCTGATAGGTTCACTGCTGTCCTACTGCAGAACATGCGTACTGGGCATCGAGAGGCTACTTCTGCTTTTTTGTGATGGGTCTGACTTCAGCAGCAGTGAGGGACCCATCAGTGTCGGCAGCCCCCTTGTGGAGCGGGTTATCCCACCCTTGGATGGCATACTCCTCCTCTGGGTGCAGTTCGCCCTCCTACCTCCAGGGGGAGCAGTGTACCACAGGCTTGACTATTTATGCACACATGCTTCCAACAGATACTGCTTTGGTTCCCGGGCTGATTTACAGTGACCGGCTGAAGCAGGGCTTGGCTGTAGGTGTTGCACTTAAATGAACACCCACGCCCACTCAATGCCTCTGCGTACTACTATGAATATATATCATCAGCCATGAATTGAAAGTACCACCATAGAAAGAATCGGCTCTGCTTTTTTTTGGTTTGTGTATTTTAATACATATATACATATATAAATATTTCTGAATTGTAATATATATATATCTGATTTGGGTTGGATGGTTCTGTGTTGGTGTCTTACTGCCCCCAGCTAGTATGTTGTATGTCAAGCTGTTACTTTACTGATGTACACAGGAAAGACAAAAATTACAGTAATTATGTAGCAACTATTTTTATACACTTCACTGTATTTAAATATTGATTTATGTTTACATATATTATGGTTTGCTGTATTTATTATATTGTATTGCATCTGTTGCTTTTAGTCTGACAGAATTGTATATGTTTTATTTTATTTAACAAAATGGGATATTTATTTATAATATTATAAATGTTAAATTAAATAAATAGAATATTGCACTGCTAGATGGCAACAAAGACAGCAGTGGAGAGTAGCCCCGAAAGAGACAGGGAGAACCCTAAATACTTTAAAGATTGTGTGTGTGTGTGTGTGCGCATACAGTACAGAGACTTGCAAGAACTTATCGAACCCTTGTCCGAAAGGGCGGGAATTGGATCTGGAATGTCACTATGGCCTGGACCAGCTGGTGCCTGGATCCAGTTGCTCTTCCTAGCCAACCTTATCAGTTCCAGCTCCACCCTATCCACCCACAAAGCTCCACCCCCATGCAGACTCCACCGGCCTCCTGATCAGCCAATCAGGAAGAGAGTGTGCCAGGGGACGGCTGAGGGTGGGGAGGATGGAGCACAAAGGTTAGTCTGGAAGGCTTGGAGATCCTGCCCTGACCAAGGCATCCACCTCTGGTACTCCAGCGCCACCAAGGTCAGCTACCCAGTCTACCTGAGAACCGTCACATGGAGACAAGGTCACCGCCTTCTGAAAGCCGCGGTTATGTTGGTGACGGTTGACTGCCGTTCACGTGTGTGTGTGTGTGTGTGTGTGCATGCGTGTGTGTGTGCGTGCACACACACCTGGTCCTTTTACAGCCGTTTGCCATCTAGCATAGGACCACGACTGGAAAACGAAAAACAAAAGCGGGCTCATCACGAAGACTTCACCCTCCCCCAATACTTGCAGCTCACTCGCCCTTTTGTCAGTCCAATCACCATAGGGACTGTTAGGGGGCAGCAAATATGGTTCACGCAGATGTCATTGGTATGTTTTTATGGGACAAATCATGCCCACCTGTGTATCAGTCCGCGTATGCCGTCTGCCCTCTTCGAATATATTCCTGCCATGTTTTCGGCACAATATAGTAGTCCTTTAAAAAAAAAAAAAAAAACATGAAGCATAGGCTTAAACAGTGCCGATGAAGCAGTGAGGAATATAATTTTGCGTCTGTTTATTTGTGTATTTATTTATGGATTCTTTTTTTTCAAGTGTGTAAAATAGTGCATGCAGTGCGACAGAACTCTGTAGCTGCTGAGAATAAAAATTGAAACGATTACTGGAGAAACACTTTCATTAAAATGATCCTGTCTGCATAAAACATGTGGAGTTCTGCTTCCATCTTTTTTCACTTGTTTGTGGGGGTTAATTCTAAGATTAAAATAGGTAAGTGTGGTTGTGATTGGGTAAGGTTGGGGTCTCTAGTAGCATTTGCACAAAAATACCAGTTATCGATGTAGCAGGGGTTTAAAGGAGATTCAAAATCTTTTTTGGCCACGTGCAACAGGTGGATATTGTGTCATTTAGCCTCACTTGGTTATGAAAGTCTAAAGACAGGAAAATCAATACAAACGCAAAACTGAACATTATATAGTCACTGCGCTACATACACTATGGGGACACACCTCTTAATCATTAAATTCAGGTGTTTTATTCAGATCCTTTGCCACAGGTGTTTAAAATCAAGCACCCAGCCATGCAGTCAGGTTTGTCATTCGGAGATATTCCATGGTCAGCTGTAAGCGGTATTATTGCAAAGTGGACGTGATTAGGAACAACAGAAGCTCAGCCACTAAGTCGCAGACCATGAAAAGCCAGAAAATGGGGTCGCCGAATGCTGAGGCGCATAGTGCATGAAAGTTACCGACAAACTTCCTCTAGCATTAACTCCAGCACAAAAACTGTGCAGTAGGAGCCTAGTGGAATGGGCTTCCATGGCCAACCAGCTGCATGCAAGCCTCACATCACCAAGCGCAATGCCAAGCGTCAGATGGAGTGGTGTGAAGCGCACCGCCACTGGACTCTGGAGCAGAGGAAACTTGGGCTGCCTCTAACGACTGTTTTTCTATGAATTATGGGGCATACCAAGACGTTTTGGACAAGTCTATGCTTCTAACTTTGTGGGAACATTTTGGGGAAGGCCCTTTTCTGTTCCAGCATGACTGTGCCCCAGCGCACAAAGCAAGATTCATAAAGACAAGGCTGGGTGAGTTTGATGTGGAAGAACGTGACTGGCCCACACAGACCTGACTTCAACCCTATCAAACACCTTTGGGATGAACTGGAACAGAGATTGTGAGCCAGGCCTTCATGTCCAATACCAGTGCCTGACCTCACAAATGCTGTTTTGGGTGAATGGGCAAAAATTCCCTCAGACACACTCCAAAATTTCATGGAAAGCCGTCACAGAAGAGCAGCAGCTATTAGATCTGCAAAGGGGGACTAACTTAATATTGACACCTATGGATTTAGAACGGGATGTCATAAAACTTCCTGTGGGTGTAATTGTCAGGTGTCATAAAAAACTTTTGTCCATATTGTGTCTCCGGAGAATCCTTGGGTACTGCTGGTTGGTTTGACTGTGTGTCGAATGAGCAGATGCTGAAGGAGTCCCAAATCAGGCACATTACCTGCATTGTGAGGGAGCGTCAGTTACGGCACTACGGCCATGTGGCGCGTTTCCCTGAGGACCCAAGCGACTGGACCAGGCCAAGGGGACGCTCACGTAACACCTGGCTGCGGCAGATGGATGGTCATTTCCAAAGGGTGGGATCTGTCTTGGGGAGCCTGAGGAGTTTTGCCGTGTGGTGCTGCATCAGCATATGCTCCCCAACCTGACCTGACCTGACCTAATATAGTGTGTTTCATTTGTATGATAAACCCATTTATTAGAAATGTGTATCCATCCGTCTTCTAGTTGCTTATGTTGGTCAGGGTTATGGGAGCCAATCTCAGGCAGGGCAAGGCAGGGGTACGCTCTGGACAGGAGTGGCTACGAGTCCACTGCAGGGTGCACAGGTGCATTATGGGATTTTTTTTTAAAAGCCAGTCAGTCTAACTGCATGTCTTTGATCTGCAGGAGAACATGCAAACTCCACTCAAAGAGCTGGCAAGTGGGGTTCAGACACTCAGTCCTGGAAGAGCAAGGTGACAGTAACAGCCAAATGATTTCCATAAAAAGATTATCAATGGAAATTATTTTAATATGTGGACATACTTAAACTGCAAGCAGACCATGACAGGCAGCAGGGAGGTTGAACCTGTTTTAGATCTGCTGTTGGAAGCAACACTAGGAGTCAGGTAGAGCAAAAGTCATGAGCTGATTAAGTGGGGAGGGGAGGGGGCAGAGTTCAAGAGAACGCAGAATGTCAGGATGACTCAGGATGACTCAGGATGAGCTGCGAATCGTGTATCTCAGGTTGACGTCTCCACAAGGTCCTGCAGTGACCCACACAGAAGAAAGGAAAAACTCACATGTGAGTAACATTTTCCTGCCTGTAATTATATATGACATCTGAACTAAGCACCAAGAAGTGGTTTGAGACGGATTCCTGCATTAAACGGTCCAATGACAGACCATTACTCTGGCTGCTTTTTGTTTCGCGGAGAACACAGAATCATAAAACCAGCTGTAGCAAATGAAGGTGTTACACGGACAGCAGAGTCAGGGAAACAAAATTTATTCTGGTTATTTGTGTTTATAAAGCGTACATTTTCCTGTTTAAAAGGTGGTGAGTGCCAAGAACAGGTAAATATGGTCATTACTGAGAATATTTTTTAAGATATTGATCAACAAAATTTGGACAACAAACATAAGGACTGTGGGCAGCACTGCGAGACTTTACTGTTGTTATAATAATGGTAAACTGAGAATGTGAAACTGATGACTTCCTTTGAGGATGTTTCATTACACAATTATGAGAGTTATGTTGTGACACTTATTAGCTAGAATTTCATTGAGTTTTTGACAATTGTAGGGTTAGAGTTACAGTTTACGGGCCATTTATAGAGTCATAGAACATGTTAAAATGGTTGCTTATGGTGAGTGATATATTTGTGGGTAGGGAGGGGACTTTCTGATATAACCATTTGACTCAAAGACTTACATCTAGCTATAAATTCAAATAAAATTGTTAGCATTTATTCAGATAAAAAAAGTAGTTTTCAGAAATTAGAATCCATATGTGGCGTTTACTCATGGCCATAAATTATGGAGAGATGGGGTGGGGGTTGTATCCCCCCTATAATCAAAACCAGCCAATACAACCCCCTGGACCCTCTTAAAAGGGTGGAGACCTCAACCCCACCAATGCTCAACCCAAAGTTATGCACTTGCATATATCAACCAGGTCATGTTTCAAACGAGACTCATATACACTAATAAACAGTCATCATTTCCCAAAGTGGCCGAACAAGACTGCAACTGCACCCTCTAGTAGTTGGAGGTAGTATGCTCGCCGTTTCTTGTAATGTTAACGAATTGCAGCTGTTGCTTTATGTTTCTGATGAGATGGCAGGGTACTTAGAGGTTATATTGTCATATAAAAATTATGTAAATATCATGATGTTCAAGGGAAATTCTGGAAGGGTTTAGGAGCTGATTCCAAAGCAGTTACATGAAACAAAATAAAATGGCTTAATAAAATGTTTGGTTTCTTTTTTATTTTAAAATATACTTAAAAGTAGAGTTTGCTTTCAAATTAATTATATTATTTCAAATCAAATTCAGGCTTCATATAAAATGTGAATTCTGTTGCCCATGAGCAATTCGGATTGACAGTCTTACTGTTGAAGTCCTTGGATGTATGTAGACTTATTGTTTTAGTTCAGTTGAATATATATTTACACATCCAAAGTCTCCAGTGTAGAGTCCAGCTGTGCCACAAAAATGCTAAGATTCACAGAAACAGATGTAACCTTAAGGGACACTCACAAAAAGATCCAACTGAGGCCGTTACGCTCGTTGGGCAAATCACAAGCCTGCTATTTGTAGGCCTGAATCCCACGTCGCTATGACAATAACAGGACCCGAGAAAGACAGTTCATTTAGAGATATTTTTCTTGTTGTTTCTTCCATATACCTCTTTGTGTACTTGATCTGCTAATTAATCTTAATGTTGTTTGAAGACGAACAGGCCAATAGACTATTTATGTGCAGTGTGGTGTTTGTGTATTCGATGAATTAGCACAGTGATGCCACGGCTGTAATGGCAGTTTGACATCCGTGTCCTCTGCTACCTTTCTGCTTACTTCCCGCGGTGTCACTCTACTTCACAGTGTCACTCCTGTGATGATGGGGCTTCTTCCCTGACACGTGGCAAACGGCCTGACCTCTGACCCTGAATCTCTTTCTTCAGTAGATACAAGCATCATCCTCCAGGAGATTAAGCGATGCGATGGCAACACCCAGCAAGGAAATCAAACTGCGTCATCGGGACAAAGGGGCCCCCAGCAACTCCACAGGCTCAGAGAGCCAGCCCAAGAACGTGGGTGAGCCCTTATCGCTGGAAGGTATTCGTGTCAGGGTGAAGCCAGATAAGTGACTGAGTGTGCAGAAAAATCAAATCCCTTTCTTCGTGGTTTGTACTCTTTTTTTCCATTATGATGATGTGGATGATTTTATGACACTGTAGATAATCTTGTATGGATCACAACATGTATGATGTCATGGCTGACCTTGTGGATCACAATATGTATGATGTCATGGATGAGCTTGTGGATTATCACGTGTATGATGAGGCATAGCAACAGGACAGGCTAGTGAGGTGATTGCCTGGGGCCCCGAGCTGGGAAGGGGTCCCTAAGGGCATCCGATTGCATAGTACGTTACAGGGACAAATCTGCTCATTTGAGTATTCTGCTTTTCACAAAAGTGAAAATAAAGGACCTATGTGTATTACATTCTCTGTGTTGATCTTATTAATTTTGACTTTAGGCTAAAATAATGATTATTCATTTTACCATGCAGGGTAGTTAGATGGCCCCGTGGAGTTTTTTCGCCTTGGGCCTTCAGAGTACCTACAATCACCTCTGTGTGTGCATAACATTGTGGATGATCTTGTAGATTACCACATGCATGATGTCATAGATGATCTTGTTGATTACCACATGCATGATGTCATAGATGATCTTGTTGATTACTACATGCATAATGTCATAGATGGTCTTGTAGATTACCACATGCATGGTGTCATAGATGATCTTGTGGATTACCACACATAAAATGACATGGATGATCTGGTGGGTCACAACATGTATGATGTCATGAATTAGCTTGTGGGTGACAACATGTAATGATGTCGTGGATGATCTTGTGGATCACAACATGTATGATGTCGTAGATTATCCTGTAGATGATTTTGTGCCCATGTATCTGTGTAGAGGAGGAACAGACAAACCTTGAAGCACATGACTTGATTCAGTGGAAGAGACATATAGAGGTGAGGATTATGTTGTGTTACAATAGACTAACATTTTTTGTGTAACGTGTTTGTTGTTTGAGATGTGCAAATACTTTTACTCACAGAAAACTGTCTATGACTCTTGTGAAGGATCTGTATCTTGTCTGTATTGGTAGATGAAATGTCTAAAACTAGTTATTTTCTAGATCTTGATCTTTTCTTTTTCAACAACCCAACTAAGCTTTGTTAATTCAAAAATTATTCTGAGCAAAAGCCACCATGCACCACAGCCCCCAATCGGAAATTCTGAGAGCCCGTCGCACTGGCAGAGACACCGGAAAAGCACTTGGCTGGCATCCGTAAAGCCAGCACTGTGAAACCGGCTGTCCAGCCTCCGTGAGCATCTCACCGCTTTTGCACGCAGGCTGTGAAGGCCGACCTCTTGGAGCAGATCCAGGGCCAGCTCAGTGACCTCCTGGACAGGGCCATGAAGGAGTCAGCGGAGTCCTACTCCCGTAGGAACCCCGTACTCCCCAGCACCACCAACGTCAGCAGGAGCGGGAGGTATGGGCTAACGCTACTACAGCCACTATACAGTAGCTCAGATAGTGGTCACACCACAGAGCATAATGGGAACCAAGTATGTCACTGTATCCAAGCAACTGTTAAGAGCAATACCTAAACTGTGACCTCAGCTGTCCACATGTACACATAGGAGAATAGTGGTGCAAGCTGTTCATATTCTGTTCTGTTACAGAAACCTTAGGATGGAGCATGGGAAAGTATTTATGGAACGGAAGTCAATCCTTGAGTAAGTTTACAGTGGAATTCTCCTTCCTGATCAAGGAAATTATGTTGTCTTTAATTTAACTGTGTGTGGAGTTTGCATGTTCTCCCCATGTCGTCGTGGGGTTTCCCCCCACAGTCCAAAGACATGCTGAGGCTGAGTGGAGTTCCTAAATTGCCCTTAGGTGTGCCAGTGTGAGTGACTGGTGTGTGAGTGTGGCCCCCCAGTCCAGGGTTGTTCCCTGCCTCGTGCCCGTTGTTTCCGGGATAGGCTCCGGACCCCCCGTGACCCAGTAGAATAAGCGGGTTGGAAAATGGATGGATTAATTTAATGAACTGAAAGTTGATGCCTGTCTGAGTGAATGGTGTGTGAGTGAATGGTGTGTGAGTGAACGGTGTGTGAGTGAACGGTGTGTGAGTGAACGGTGTGTGAGTGAATGGTGTGTGAGTGAACGGTGTGTGAGTGAACGGTGTGTGAGTGAACGATGTGTGAGTGAATGGTGTGTGAGTGTGCCCGGTGATGGGTTGGTGCCCCATCCTGGCTTGTTCCCTGGCTTGTTCCCTGCCTTGTGCCCATGAGGGGTGGTACAGTACTCAGCATTAGTACTGTTGCTGTACCTCCAGAGTTGGGGTTCGATTCCCACGTCTGCTGCGTGTGTGTGGAGTTTACCTTCTGTTCTTCTTCCATGTTGTGTGGGTTCTCTGGTTTCCTTCTGCAGTCCAAAGACGTGCAGTTAGACTGATCGGTGATATATATAGAACAGCATCCCATCCAGTGCTGCCTAGAATTTAAAAGATGGATGGATGGATGATGGCTCTTAATTTCTCATTTAGTGAGAGTTACTTTTCTAAAAAACAGTTTTCCTTAATTATCCACCATCCATCCATCTTCCTTCCTCTTTCCCAGTAAAGGGATGCAAACTGAATTATGTCAAATAAAATCCACGTTTTGAACATATGACCATTGTTGTTTCGGATTCCCCCAGAGTATCATATTACTCTGCCATGCAGCTCGCAAAGTTCGTGTGAAATTCGGCCACTGGTTCCTGCAGTTGTATGCAAAGCAGTGTGGGACCTGAACCATGTTTCCTGCCTGCAGTGAGCTGTTTGAGATTAATCACATCCGGACCCTCTACCACATGTTCATCGCTGCTCTACTGCTCCTCATCATCAGCACCTTGGCGGTGGATTACATTGACCAGGGAAGGTGTGTTTGGAACCGGCACTGAGTGTGAGTGTGTATGTGTGCGGGTGGGTTTGGAACAGGGTGATGGGCTGAAACAGGAAATGAGTAATCTAGATAATGATGAGTATGGCAACTCTGGAATTGTTGTGCACTCTCACTGACTTCCCATTGGCTTCCCAATTAGTTCTCACAGAGGTAATGATTGGCAATGGACAGTAATCCCACCCACTGTCAGAGGTGGAAATTTCAGATCCAGAAAGTACAAATCCTGACCGTGATTTAGCTTCAACCAACCAGTGGAATACTCTGTAACTGTGATTCTTTATGCGCAACTGGTTGGTTGAAGGTAAGTCACGGTCTGGATTTGTACTTTCTGGACCTGAAATTTCCACCTCTGCCCATTATTGGGATTCAAGGTCTCATTTCTCCCATAATTAGATTTACTTAAACAATTTAGTCATGTCTGCACACATATAATCTAAAATAGCCAAATGTGCATTGATAGACCGGGTTCTACCTCCCCAGGCTTGTTCTGGATTTCGACCTGCTGTTCTACGCCTTCGGCAAGCTGCCCACTGTGCTCTGGGCCTGGATGATCATGTTCAGCTACACGCTGGCTGGGCCGTACCACACGCTTACCCTGTGGGGCAGCCATTACCATGGGGCCGGCACTCCCCGAAGGGTGCTCACCGTGGGCTGTGGTGTCGCTCTGGCGGCTGCACAGAGCTGCATCCTGGGGGTGTTCCCCGTCTATGTGGTGATACATCACCAGCTGCCCGCTGCTTCCCGGTTCATCATTATCCTGGAGCAGGTATGTGTGCATGCAATCATACGCATGCACTTAGGTCCCATAAATATTTGGACAATGACGCAATTTTCATCATTTTGCCTCTGTATGCCTCCACAATCGATCTGCAATGAAGCAATCAAGATGTGATTGAAGCGTAGACTTTCAGCTATAATTAAAGGGGTTTAACAAAAAAGAACATATGAGCCGTTTAGGCATTTCAGCCACCTTTATACAATAAAGTGGTTGATGAAATAACAAGGGAACAGCCCACACCTGGTCATTAAACAGCTTCTCAGTCAATTGTCCACTTACCTTTGAGCCCCTGAGACACTGTGTATAAAAATGGCTGTATAGTCTATAGAGCAGGGGTGGGAAATCTTATCCAGAAAGGGCCGCTGGATATGCAGGATTTTGCTGCAACTCCCTAATTATGTTAGTAATTAGAAGCCTGATTGGCTGAGGAGTCCTCACACCTGGGTTTGAACAGCTGGCCTAAAGGTTATCCCAAAAACCTGCATACACACTGGCCCTTTGCGGATAAGATTGCCCACCCCTGCTATTGAGTATATAGATATAAGGAATTTATTTAGGAAGTTGTTAGGATATAAAGTCACTAATACAGGCTGATTTAAACTCAGCAGGATGTCAGAAGAGGTTAAAGAAGAGCCAGAGAGACAGCAAACCCAGTGATGCATATCTAAGCTAAGTTACTGTAGTTAAGAACACCCCCATTGTTCTGTTGTCCTCAAAATGGCCGCCAGGTTGGCAATCTCTGTTATCCCAAGTCCCCTGGCTTCATTCTGCTTGCTCAAGAACAGCCATTACATACTGTATGTGAAGATTAGTTAATTCCCAGCAAAAAGAACCTTGAAGGAACGAGGCAGGCTTGCGTAGATACTTCCTCGGGGGTATTCCAAAGGGCGAGCGAACAGAGAGATAAACAACAAAAGCAGTGAAGGACAAGAATTATGAGTGTGCTAATAAGAATGCACTGGGCAGATACCCGGCTATATATAGATCCTGCTTAACGACGATTTCACGCTTTAGTTCCCTTGTAATAAAAATTCAGTCCTGCATAACACCAGCAGGTGCCCCAGCAATGTTGGGGATGCAGGGCTCTCCAGTTTCACGCATTGACCGTGAGACAGACGCTTCGCCCCTAATGTAATCTCACTCCAAACTTCTGATGAAACTCGAGAGCCCTTCTTATTGGTGTGTTTGCAGAGTGCTTAAAAGCTGACTTCCTGTGAGTGTGTATCTGGGCTGGTGCTAAGTTTTCACGGGTGGTGCTGTGGTGCCACGCCCCTGCGGTTAACTGGGTTTTATCTGAGCTTCAGGTTCTTCTCAGGGTTCAAGGACAGGCCTTGGCTGAATTACCCTTTGGCCTCATAGAAAAGGTTCTTGGTCACTGTGACAGGATCAGCTATTACTGATAATGGTTAGATATGCATCTGCCATAAGATTGTCAAGGTTTTTCAGCTTGATTGTTTTAGCAACTGGTTCTGTCCCCACACTCAGGTCAGATTCCTGATGAAGAGCTACTCCTTCATACGGGAAAATGTTCCAGTGATCATGAACCACAAGCCACAGGGGGGTAATGCAATTTATTATATTTTTTTTTCCAAAGAACCATGCAATTTTACCAATTTACTGCTATAAATGATTTACATGGTTTATTGGACCAGTTGAGGCTCCAAGCCTGTGTCCCTAACCCCTATCATGTCTGCTATTTATTATTCATACTACAAAATTTAGATGTTTTTTGTTTTTGAAGATTCTGGGTCCAGGGTAATTTGAAATGCTTGCAATCTTTGTACCTTTACTGAAACACCACAAGACACTGCACAGTCTTCAAAATCTGGTGCTACAAACTGCAGGAGGACTCGGGTCTCTGACGGGGGTGCAGTACTTTACCTCACTCTGCCGCCTCGTTTTCTCCTTATCCCCGCACCTCAGGAGAAGACCCCAGGCTCCCCACCTTCTCCAGTTACCTCTACTTCCTCTTCTGCCCCACTCTCATCTACAGAGAGTCCTACCCCAGGTGAGAGTGTGACAGAATCACAATCACAGCCCTGTGCGGCACGAAAAGGTCACAAACACCTAGTTACTGACAGAGCATCACTGCCGTGTCAAAGGTGCATAAGTGCTATCATTTGTCCTACTTTCCAATCGCTTAATTGCGCTCAAAGGTCTTTGCCTTTTATTGTGACGATTATTATCATTAGTCTTACTGCTATTTGTAGTGGCACTAGTAGTGCTGTTTTTGCAGTCATTATCGCATGATGTGTCTAAAGATCATATTCTCCACAATAACAGGAATCCGTATATTAGATGGAACTATGTTGGTGTCAATTTTGCTAAGGTAAGACAAGCACCTATTATCTTCCGCACAATTTTAAAGTACTTTGCACCACGAGCCAAAATATTCCTCCCGTTATCATTAATTGTGTAGAGTAGCTAGTATGATGAGCAGAACTCTTACATTTCATACTGGTCACCTTTGTAGAATACTGATAGAGTCTGAAGAGAAAAGTGACTTGAACTTAGACAGTGCTTCACCTATTTGTCTAATCAAACCTAAAAACTTTGTGTATGAAGCACAATCTTCCTTCATGCAATCCACATAAAAGGACTAATAGTTTCACCTATATGAACACCAGCCATCATCCTCAATCTGAACTGACCAGTCCTAATGAAATCCAAATTACATTGGCCTTTAATACCATAGTGGGATAATTGGCACACAACTTCATTTTCCCAGTTCAATAACACTTTCCCAATTGTTAAAACTATTTTTACTCCTAATATCAACACCCACTCTCAAGGACCACTGCAAGCCATAATTATTCTTTAGAAGCATTTAGCTCCCATTTGCTGATGTAAAATATTGTAACAATGTAGCAAAATTAAAAGAGGGATCCATCCATTACCCATCCATTCTCTTTTAAAAATTATATTGCTGGCTGTATTTCAAAAGCTGGCAATTTAAAGGCCAGTAATTATGACTTCATAATGACAATATTGCTTTATATTTCTTTACATTATACAGAGGTCATCTTGTATTCTCTTACTGCCAAACCATTTTAATTGGTCTGATTAAACAGTATAACATTAATAGAGACTTAAATTCCTTATGTGACTGAAAAGTAAGGTTATGGGACTTTTTTAGTGCAACAAGATCACTCCAAAAAAGGAAAACCAAAAAAATTCATTAATGGTATACTGCAGGGGTGGCTAATCTTATCCGCAAAGGGCCGGTGTGTGTGCAGGTTTTTGGGATAACCTGTAGGTCAGCTGCTCAACCCCAGGTGTGAGGACTCTTCAGCCAATCAGTCCTCTAATTAGTAATTTAATTAGGGAGCTGCAGCGAAAAACCGCAAACACAGCGGCCCTTTGCGGATAAGACTGGCCACCCTGGTATAGTGTAAAGAACCCTGCATTTCAGAGAACGAATAATCCACATTGTGTTATTTGTTTGCATACTTTCCCTTTGAGACGATATTTAGCACTGGTCTGGTGGCATTCAGTGTCAAAAGTAGGCAGTCATGCAGAAAAATTCTAAGACAGAGCAAATACTTTCTCACACCTATGCATATTAATAGGCGCCCCCCTGTGGTAGTGTGCAGTAATATTTATACTGATGAGTACCAGGAAATCATTGCGGAGTAAATTTAAGACTTACGCATTTGTGTACAGTAATGAAATACTTGACCTCAAATTGTAGTTATTCTAAATAACATTGCACTGTAACATTACCCGAGTGGTTTCCGAACTCACAGACTTTGGTGAGTATGGTTACTGTTTGCCATCCTTTGCAAAGTGACGCCATCCGAGGAATAGCTTTACCCTTAGTGTTTCCTTTCTTCGGACAGGTCCTGGGCTGTTTGTTTTACCTCTACTTCATCCTCGTGCGGCTCTGCATCCCTGTCTTGATGAACGAGAACAACCATCCCCTTAGCACGCGCACGCTAGTGCTCTCGCTGTTCCACGCCACCCTGCCAGGTACCGCCACGATCATGTGACCACCTCCGCGGCCCCTCTGCACTACATCTTACTCGCTTGCTCTCGGGACCGTGTGTGTGTGTGTGTGTGTGTGTGTGTGTTCTTGTTCTGCATGTTGATAATAAATTGCTGAACCGACAGTCCAACCTAAAGAAACTTTTGCATGACCGGTCTTGGTTAGATTGTGTAGCTCAGTTATGGCTGCATCTCAGAAGGTCTCTGCAGCCAAGTTTATTGCCCCTTCAGGTCTCTGCGGCCTCGTTTTGGGTGACTTTCCCCATCTCTCTGGCTGCAGGCATGCTGATCCTGTTGCTGGCTTTCTTTGCCTTCCTGCACTGCTGGCTCAACGCCTTCGCCGAGATGCTGCGCTTTGCCGACCGCATGTTCTACAAGGTGAACCGGCGCCCCCTGCTGACCGATCGCTTTCTCAGAATTGTCACTCTCCCTGCCAGATCTGTTCAGATCCAGCCACCTCACGGCTAAGAATTACATCTCCGGCTATGCTCTTAAAGCCCACAAGTCAGCGGCACGTGAGAAAGATAAACAGCTGCTTAAAGACGTCAGTTTCGAGTGAGTGTTATACATGGACAAAGAGACTGAGGACTAGAGTATGTCTGCACTTCACTGACAAAACTGCAGACAGTCTGTGTTCAGTCCTTCTTTGGTGATTATGTGGCAGGGTTGGCACCCTGGGGGACATTTGTGGGTCATACCCCCCAAAGGACAATCACCAAGGATGTCCCTTTAATTTAACTTAATGTTTTAATGAAGGCGCTCATTAAACAACGGATCATCTGCGTACCCCCCCCCCCCTGATCAACAAGTCCCCCTCCCCTCCCCCAGTGAAGATCTTGGGCCCGCCCATTACTGCCATAGGTGTGCCTGGACATTCCCAGGGACTGGGTGAAGTCACATGACATGTTCATTCACTCACCTATAATCGGCTACTAATTACTACTGAAATAAAACAGGCTTCTTTTTTCTCCAAAGCCAGTGAGGGTGAGAGGGAGGGGGGAGTGAGAGAAATGTCAGAGAGGGTGTCAGAGAGAGACTGAAAACTATGTTCCCGTCCATGTCATTTTTCCTGCACTGTGTAAGAGCCAAAATGGCTGCCTTTGCTGATTGTTCTTCACTACATCCTTGTGTCAGTAGGATCTGGTTGCCATCCTGAAGTAAATAAACCTTCCAGTTATCTTCAGTTATTTACACATAACACTCATTTCAAACCTGTTTCCTGTCCACTAGCAGCCCCTGAGGGTTTGAGTTAGCTTATGTTGGCTTTACGCTTATGGTCCAGGCTTACGTAACTCAGGTGACTCATTACCCCAGATCTGCCTCAGCGTGGGGGGGGGGGGGCTCCCTCCATTCACTGTTGATATGTGTGCCTGTTCTTGTTTCTAGGACTGGTGGAACTCCACATCTTTTGCCAACTACTATAGAACGTGGAATGTGGTGGTTCACGACTGGCTTTACTATTATTACTATCAGGACTTCCTCTGGGTACGTCACTGTCACTATATTATCAGTCACATCACTTTTTCTCACATTTGGTAATATCAAGAGAATGCCACACACCACAATATGCAAGCAACAATATTATATAATTAGTATTAATTCACATAGTTAATTTTGGAGAAACCTCCGGCTTGATTTTTACACTTTAGTTTTGGCTGCTGAACCTATTTGGGATTTTTGGATCCGGAAAATGACTGGTAGTGACAGCTGCCATGCTTCTGTATGGCACTCACTCATCTTTAAAGTAACTACTCACTACTTACTACTTAATTTATACTTACTGCTTACTACTACTTTATCTGTTTACGTCTGAGAATATTTTAACCCATGTATTTTCAATAGAAAAATATTTATTTCCACTTGATCTAATTAACATCTGACCTCTGTGGCAGTAATGGTGGGAGCAGCAGAAGGGATGTAGGGTTCCTTATGGGAACCAGTAAAGTGAGCAGTGGAGACCAGCTTAAAGCAGCGTGTGAGTGACATGCACCATTTTTTGAAGCCCGTTTGTCCATCTGATTGTCCCGCCTCTTCCAGCTGACCAGACGCAAATTCCGCACCACTGCCAAGCTGTCCGTGTTCCTCATGTCGGCGGTGGTGCACGAGTACGTCTTCACCCTCTGCTTTGGGTTCTTCTACCCCGTGATGTTCTGCCTCTTTGCCGTCATCGGAGGTGAGGCCGACGACCCTCCTCGCTCTTCCGCTGGGCCTCCCAAAGCGACTCTGCCGTTTTCATCAATAAATGCAGCAGGCGAACAGGCCCACAGATATTGGGTTTGGCCACTTGCTGCTCATTAGTCGATTTCCGGGGCGCCTAATGCACCATGATTGCGTTAAGACATCAATCTGTGGTCACTTAATGACAACGGGCTTAAAAGGACAACTGAGAATAAAGCCCTTCACATAAAATGAACTTAAAACTGTGTTTTTTATTGAAAATATTATTACACTTCTTGTACTATGATTAATCTGATAGCAATGTTTTACTAATGTCATAATTTTTATCAAACAAAAATGCATGTGTTGTTAATAACAGATTTTTTTTTTACCGCACAAATGCAATGACATCACAGCTATTTATAGAAACCTCCCATGAATTCATCCAGCATCTATTTTAAAGGCAACACTAACTAGGATACTGTGTGTCCGCCTGGATTGCTGGGATCCTGTGCACTGACTGAGCCTTTCCTCCTCCTTCAGTGGTGTTCAACTTCACTCTAAACGACAAGCGTAAGGGTCCCGTGTGGAACGTCATCATGTGGACCTGCCTGTTCATCGGCCAGGGGGTGCAGGTGTGCCTGTACTGCCACGAGTGGTATGCGCAGGTACACTGCCCGCGCGCAGGGGTGGGTACTGCTCGACACGATCCGTCCACCGTCCTTCTCAGCCATCCCAGCAAGGACCTGCTCTTGTATCATAGCAGGGTGCTTGACCCTACACTGCTCTGGTAAAATACCCACGTTTATGAATGGTGGAGGTGAACATCTGAGGTCCAGAAAGTAAAAAGATTTTTTTTCAACCAGCCAGTTGAGTATAAATAGTCACAGTCACTGAGTACCCAACTGTGGGTAAAAGTTGTAGCTAATTAGCTTAGTGAAAATGCAATATTGGCACACAGGGAGACATAATAATAGCATTAGGTTCATGCAGACACTCCCACAACCTGCCCAGTACCATTACCTGCCCAAGTGCTGTTTCAGAAAGTCTGCAGTCAGGGCTGGAAATGCAGCTTGCCCACTCACTTGAGGTTAGTAATTTATATGAATTGCCAGTACAAAATTTTGTGGCATATTAATCTCTAGACACAAGTACATAGACCCCTGCCTGTCTAAAAATTCACTGAAGTGATGACACATGCAGGGTCTTCTTAGCCAATCTGAGTTTGAGACCCATCCCAATTAGCCAATCAACTTCAAGGACCTGATCAATTGCATTTGGTGTTTTTTATGATTATTATTATTATTATTATTATTATTATTATTATTATTATAGATGTGATGCCTTTGGTTGCTTTGTACATTGTACATTACATTGTACATTGTGGGCTAGCGAGCATTCATGTAAGCAAGTAATTTTTTTACTTATCTAACCCAGTTGGCTAGTAGCAAAAATTCTTAAGTTCTTCCCCCCGTCTGCAGTGCAGATTTAGCTGAATGGAAGTGGTTTAACACAAATGTGTAGCTGTACATCCTGGCCCAGCAGGTCATTCCCTTGGTAAGGGCTCCTAGTAACACAGCATATGTTCATACTGATCTATCTTTCATGAACCCCTTCCTGTATTTTCTGACCCCAATAGATTGTACTGTCTATTCAAAAAAGGGCTCAATGCATACCCCAAAGCAGGCCAAGAGCACCCTCTAGTGGGGTCAAAAGATACAGCAAATGGTTCATGAGGCTTCATTTGACTAGGGCTAATTCACAGCTAAAACAGATTAATGATTATACACAATGGTTAAAACCAGTATCAGAGAAGCTGAGGAGTTTGAGAGAGTCTGGTTTGTAAAGGCCTTCATAAAAAAACAGAAATGGAAAACTGCTCTGAACTACATTTTATCTTAATGCTAACTCCACATACCAGCAGACAGTAACACGTCTTCACCACTCACTGGTATGAGTAGTAATTTTTCCACCCACTGAGAAAGGTGTTAAATTGTGGTCTCGAAACCTGCACTAACTTGGTGTTAAATGTCAGTTTGCGCTACTAACCTGCTGATAAATACTGTGTGTGTAACAGAGGAGCTACTGGGAGCTGGTCATACCCCGGTCCTGGTCCTGTAGCTACGGAGCATGACGTTACCTGATCCACTAAGAGAGCGACCACACAGCGATCCACCCCTGACCTGCCGGCTCGGGTCCGAGGGCAGATCGAAACCCACATGCCTCACTAGTGGCAGAGAGAACCGGCACAGTAACAGAACAGGGTGGCTCAGGAAGGGCTGGATATGTAAGAGAAACTCGCTTGTAATCTTTCTGTACGTTTTATAAATTATTACACCACCAAATGGTATAAATTATTAGTTGTTCTGCTTTTTTTTACTTTCCCAAAGGCTTTGTTCATTTCCTGCTGTCAAATCCATCTATCTTAACTCCACTATTCCAGCTATGGGATGCAATTACTGTCATACTCTTCCAGTTAAAGGAAATGTATAATTTAACATGCATTTATTATTGGAGACCGTTTTACACCACGATGAAGCCATTTACTCAGCAAAGTAATAGTATAAACTATTATGAATAAGATGAAGCAGCACTAAGGAGTTTCCTCCTGGGATAAATACAGAATATCTTAAATTATCTTCGATCCAGAGACCAACTGCCCTTCTTCTCTGAATATTCCTAAAAATTCCTGGTGGGTTCGCTTTGTTTCTGCTGGGATTGAGGTTGCTTTTGGCAGTAGATTTGAATATCAGATTGTTTTCTCTATCATTTCTATATCATTTGTACTGGCAGCTTTGTATCAGATTCCTCTCTCAGAGCTTTGAGGGAATGTCTGACTGTGAAGCCTCCGCAGCTGATGGACGTTTTCCCGGTGTTACAGAACGACCGTACCTATCATTCAACATACTACTGAGTTGGCTTTACCGGATAAGCCGGAATGATCTTAAGGTTTCACCCAAAATCAATACTGACATAGAAAACAATAAAATACAAAGACTGTAGAATAAGTACTATTCTTTTTTAAAAGTTTTAGAATGACTCAGCCCAACTCCTCTCTAAAGACAAAGAACAATTGTCAGTATTTAAAGCTCCATCTGCCAAGATCCTACTGTCTGTTATTTACTGTGCTGGATCTCAGCAGATCCATTAAACCAAACCAAAATACGCTGCCAGCACTCGTGTGACTGTTTATATAAATCTACTCTGACTTATGTTATTAGATGACCTTAACCTTTTGCTAATAAATCAACAGGAATATTTCACTGCTGCTCTTCATCTCTTCATTAACTAATCCTCCAGGCCTCACTCTTTTTAAGCTCTAGCAGCATGTCTATAATAAAGATCACCAATAAATAAACATTCATGACTGGTAAAGGATTAACGGAAAGTGCTAGAAGTAACAAACAGTCCAGCTTGTCCTCTAAGAATCCCTGCTTAGCAACAGCAGATAAATTTGGGACCCTGTATCCACAACATCAGAATCGTCTCTATGGAACATCTCCAGGAACCTCTCAAGCGCCAAACAGACATTGCAGACATATCGCTTCCCAGCCTAGTTTAATCCCCCTAATTTAATCTTGCACCACAGCAGTCAGATAATCACAGTGAGACACCCTGCTGGTACCGTGTCCCCCTGACCAGCCTGTGGGTTTGCTACCTCTGGCTGGATGTTTCCAGAACTCTCTCTCCATCTCCCTCCGCACGACTCCAGTCATCGTCTCGGCCTTCTTCTAGAATTCCCATTCAACCTGCCAGTCCCTTCATAGAACAGGTGGGGGCCAAAATCCTTCCTTGAAGTTGTGTCTCATGTAGGGTGGCAGGGATGGGACACTGGAGGATGCAGTGAACCTTAAAGAGGCTTCCAGCTCTGTCTGGTGTCTTCATGACGACGCCCCTCTTTTCCAGCTTGGCACCTAAATTACTTTCAGAATTCCCCGTTTCTCAACCTCGTTTTTCCCTCCCATATTCTCACGGCAGTATTTGGAGACCAATCTCCAGACAGCAGGAATACATGGACATGGTGAAGCTCCCGTCTGTAACCACGGTACCTCAGAGGAAGCCAACAGGGCCCCATGTGCCTGGTCTCCATGGCCACGCAAAGGATTCTCTGACCTCAGTGTTTCAGGCAAGCAATTAAGCCCAGTAGCTAATAGGGAACAGGTCCTGTCTGTGGGCTACCTCTGTCCTGTGCCCCGCGCTTCCTGGAAGACCCTGCTAAGGATAAGTGGTTGGAAGATGGATTGAGGTAGAGTACACAACCAGTCAGAATGCATCTGTATCATTGCTTTATGGGAGCTTAATTAGTCGCTATAGTAATTATAGACTAAATAGTTTCTATTCTATCCAGAGGTTTCTGGGGCAACTGCATCCGGTAACTGAACCCGAATAACGATGAACATAAACATGCCCTGCATAACAGTGAGGAGCCAAAAAGTATTTTTCATTACAGGGTTGTTGGATAGGGGCCTGGAGTCTTTCCTGGACAGCAGGGAGCGCCCTAAATAGGACGCCCACAGGGCACATAATCACACGCTACGGGCAATTTAGGGACACCAGCTCACCGAACTGCACGTCTTGACCAATACAGGGAGAACATGCAAATGTGACACACAGAACAGGGAGAGGATTTTTGTTCCCGGTGCTGGAGGCGTGATGCAACAGTGTCACCCACTGTCTTCACTCTTAAAGGCTGCATTTTCAGGTGGTTGAATGTGATTGTGTGTCTGACACAGAAAAATGACATCATGATGACATCATGAGCCAAGGACGACAGAAAACCACTGGTCGTTTTTATGGCCTAATGGGAACGGCCTCATTTTCAAGCAAGCCTCACATCCAAAAGACACATTATGGAAAGATACTTTTGTTACTTTAGAGATATGGAATAATTCACAAATGACACTGACAAGTTATCAATGCACTGTTTATTGGCCATTTGCAAAGAACCATTACACAAAATAACTGTGTACATGAAAACGTGTCACAATTTTAAAAGTTTTACGAGCTCATAAAAATACATTATTCGCAAAACAGAACAGTGCTTATTCGACAGCCCCTATATCCACACTAACATGCATTTGTATTGGAGCCCATGTTCACACAGGGAAATGCCCGTTTTCAAGGACATATTCAGTGAACGAGATATTTACACAGTTCGTGCAGCAGAGAATCAAAGAGAGGAAACCGTAAAGTAGGGATTAGGAGCTACTTCACATGAACGTCATTAATTCCATCCAGAACCATCTTAACGTCATTTAGCACCACAATCGCACGGACTGTTTAGTTTCAGGGATAAATCAGTTTTAGGGAGTTCATCCCTGTAGGTAAATACCAAAGGCAGTACAGTCTTCTTTTCATAATATGCAAAGGCTCGAGTTAGTGGTTACGATACTAGTTATAGGATGCTGGGAATCCTTTTATATTAAAGGATTTAATTTTACAGGGGCAACAACTGGATGCTACTGAAATGAAGCAAATAGCACTACTGCAGAGTGATGGACAGGCCTCCAGTCCAACCTCCATCCACGTTCAGAACCAGGCTGCAGAAGCTTAGCTGCTCAAGCACGCAGCACCACATTTCATTTAAGCAGACTGCAGATCCCAAAACACAAGGAAATGCCGACGATGCTGTTGGAGTGAGCAGCCAGGGTGAGGCATGGAGTGACCAGACAAAAAAAAACAGTTACCAAAGGTTCAAGAGACCCAGGTGGGCTACTCTGACACAATGCACCACTTTGAAGCCCACATTGGCCGTGACTATCAGAGGTGACCAATCACTGCCTAGTTTACCCCAATAGGAACCAATGGATTCACCAATCAGAAACTGGTTGCCAATGACTGACAGCACACAAGTCCCACCCAGCGTGGCTTCAAAGCCTCATTCCTCACTTAGTGCCAGACTGCAGTAAACTGGGGACCAGCTGGAACCCAACGTGAAGAACGCAGTAAACATCTGAAAAGTAAACATCTGAAAGCCTGCTGCGTGACTACCTGCACTTCACAGAAATAAAAAACTAAAGTAAAATAAAAGCATCTCACTTCCCCTGAATACACACGTGTTTTTAATACTGCACTGTTTGACTGAAGCTGCCCAAACTGCTAGCTAAGTTAACTAGTTGAATTCCTGAGCCCGCGGCAGGTGTCTGGGCGCCAGGCCTCGCCCTCGCGACTTTGGGGTGTGAGAAGCCGGCGCTGCGGCCCAGCGCTCCCACGCTTCTGCGACAGTGTGGTCTCTCCACTCAGCACCAGCCACACCAAAGCTAACCGCGCCGCGCCACACCGCTCCGCAGCGACCTCCTGCCAAGGGAAATCCATTTACCGCGCTGACCGGGCAGCAGCGGCCATCAGCTGCCCTTGGATATCACCCACAGACCTTCACTCAGTAACGACTGCAGAACGTGACCCTAGTGGGCAGATGAAGACCGGAGATGACTTTACAATCAGTGGCATGTTTACCAGCATTTAACTGTCATTTATACTCTGTATTTTCCCCCACATGGTAACTCCTGCCCTGAGATCTTTTAACAACACACTCAAGTAAGTCACATATAAACCAGGGATATTAAAAAAAAACCTTTTTGTCCCCCCTGTCGAGGGAATGAGCTTATGGCTGTTGGCTAAGAATTCAGATTCCCTTCTGAGGGACGGCCTTAGGACGGTTTTTACGATTATGAAAAACTGGCACGGACGACAGACTTGCAGTGACGGACTTTCTACGTTACAGGGTCCAGCTGCGGGTTCTCCACGATGTCCGTTTCCGCGAACCCTTCTACTCTTTCCTGAGACCTGCTGCATGTCACACGTCTAGTTTGTGATCGCTAAAGTAAACATCTACACGACGCGGCAGCCGTTCCCCCCCCACCATCTCCCGGAAGCATGCGGGCTATTTCTGAGAGCGGCGCCTGGCCAGGCGGTTCATGAAGCAGCAGGTCACTGTGCCAGCGACGACCACGCCCACAAAGAGGGCTGAGGACACGCCGACTATCAGGGGAATGAGGAGGAGGTCGATCGCTGGGGAGAGAGGAACACAAGGGAGGGTAAATCGATCTGTGTTTGCGAACCAGTGTTTTCCCAGGGAAAATTACCCCCCTTGGGCTTTCTGGAGTCATGCCACAGATATAAAGAGGTCATGCAACTGTGAAAAAAACCACAGACTTACCACGGGAATACAAGTAGACGTTGACGGGCATGGATTTTGCCGCCTCCCCTGTGCTGTACCAAGCCCCATGCGGGTCCTGCCCCCACACCTCTGCCTGGCATGTGTAGTACCCCTGGTCTTGCATCTGGGCACCATGGATTCGTAACCGGTAGTAACCGTGCTCTGGTTGGTCCACGCTCACGTCCCCAAAGTTGCCGTGGAGACGGGACAGGCCCTCGTGCGTCACAGCCGCCAGCAGCGGAGCGTCCCCGTCTCCCGTGGGCACCTCCCCGGTCGACCCCAGCTCCTCCCTCTTACGGAACCACTGCACTTCCACTTGGTACGGGCCCGTGGTCGTCACGGTAACGTTGCAGAGCAAAGTGACGGTGTCGCCCCGCTTTAGGAGGGGTCCGCGCACTAGCGTAGCCGTGGCGGCCACACGGACCTCTGAGCGGGAAACAGGGATGAGAGGAAAGAAAGGACAGACAGGCAGACCATTAACGGGAACAGATTCATGGCATAACCTGTGAAGAACCTTACTGGGACCAAAGCTGTAAATGAATGAATTATAGAGCCCCTTATAGCCACAATAAAATGGAACCCAGTAAAACGAGTGCAATTAAAACTGACACCAAATGTGCTCATTAAGCCTCACGACATGAACCATGATTACTCTCAGCGCCCGCAAATAATTATCTATTCCTTAAAGCCCTTGTGGAAAATCAGCTCTGATGTGCTTCATACTGTATTAATTAAAATTTGACTAATTGCTACAAATTTGACAGATATTTAAACTGAAAGTGTGAATGAGTAATTGAAGTGTAATGGGGAGGCGAATCCCTCACCTTTGGTTGTGAAGCTGATGGCCACCCCATTGGACCTCTGGGTAACGGAGGCTGGACTGGATGGTCCCGGGTCGCGGCGTCCGGCGAAGATGCTGACGATGCAGCGATATGTGCCCGAGTCGGCGGGGTGTGCCGAAAACAGCCGGAGGGAGTACCGCCCCTGGGCCTCCATCTCCACGGCGCCGCCCCCGCCGCGGCTCGTGTCGTCTCCCCAGCTCGCCACCCCATCCGGACCCAGCCGGGCCACCTCCACCTCGGGGGCCGTCGCCGGCGCACCTTCCCCGCCCCCCCGCCGCGTCCACCTCACCAGCAGTGCCGAGCGGTTCCAGACTCCCACACCGGACACCTCGCAGGTCAGCCTGAGGGGGGAGCCGATGGGCAGGTTTACCGCCCCACTGGGGGTGGTGCTCACCGTCATGCTGTCAGCTGCAACGCAAGCAGAATGCAGCACTAAGACTACAGCAGGGTAGGGGGGTTTAAATCAACTTTACATGGGGGCGATTCCAGGTTGGGGGCACAAGAAAGGCCATAATTCATACAGAGGGCTAACCTTTATCAATACACTATCATATGTTTTGATTGGGTGAGTGACAAGGGAGGGGGCACTCCAGGGGCCAATCAGCTTTCAGCTGGGGCCAGCTCCCCTATGGCCCCGCCCCCGTTTACGCCACCTAACTTTACACATATCAAACCTCCTGCTACATACATTGCTAATACGAAACAAACACAAAGTGCCCTAAAAATAGCACGACAGGAGGTCTACACACTGCAGAAAAGCAGCCTGTAAAAACAGCGCTGTGATCTCCGAAAAGGGTCATGGAGCATCGTAAACAGCCAGGGATAATGGCCTTGATTACGTCTGTGGGCTGCTGCTCCTTTTTAAAGGACAAAACACAGTTACTAAATACTGGCTGTTTTGATACAGCATCTGCAGATGACATCACAGTTATGTTTAGCTATTTAACCTTCTGCACTTACGTCATCGGTCATCTATACATTCATATACATCTCTAGCTTAATTTATAAGGATGTGACGGCAGCAGGGAACTTACACTTTCACATAAAAAAAAACACAGTAAGCCACAAAGGACAGGTATCAGTGGTAAGCCAGACTCTATGGATTACTCTTAATTATTACTGCAACGGGCAAAACCTTTTCACAGCCTGCAGCCACATCAAACAATCATAACCAGACAGCCAGGCAAATCTCAGCGATTTTTAATTTTTTTTTAAAACCTTTCTTGGGTTTTTTTGCAAGTTTTGTTTCTATTCCTTTTTTTATTAACGAGGACATGAGAGTGAGGCAGAATGATGATTTAAATAGCCTTTGTCCTGCAGATGATGCTTTTACTAATTAAATACTATATAGCATTGTATTGTTAATACTGTATCTTTGTATTAAAAATTTTGATCTTATATAAGCAACAGTTAGTTATAGCTATTTCAGTTTGCGCTGATAAATATTTTGTAACAATTAATCCCAAATTTGTTTTGTTTATGTATGTTGTCATGCATTGCTGGTCAAAAACACCTTTTATGGCTAATTGATAAAGGTTTGCATTTTTCAGGTGTTTTGCATGGATGATTAATCATTCTCTGTACTTGTTTTCTCTTACAACACTGTCAGGCACAAGGCACTATATTCTATGTTACACAGAGCAGGACAAAGGTGGGTACTGACCCAGCGGCCTCACAGTCAGGACGCCCAGCTCCATTGTCCTGTGGGCGAGCTTTGTCCAGCTTCCATCTGGGTCCAGAATCCACTGGGTCGCCTCACAAAAATAGGCACCGGAGTCGCTCGGGGCAACAGTGGCCATCTTCATAACATACAGGTCCCGGTCACCCGCGGACTTCCCCTTCCTCTTCTCCAGGGAGATCTCACCATCCTGGTACCTCCTCTCATAGTCTCCGCCCCGGCCGGGGATCACGGCCAGCTCACGGCCAATGCTGATGATCTCCCTCAGGTTATGGCCCTGCCCGCTGATAACAGCCCCGGATCCAGCCCCGCCCCGCACGCCAAAGGTGACGGACAGGTGAGTGTGCTCTTTGGATTGGACGGCGGCCTCGCACGTCAGCTGCAGCTCCGCCCCTTCTATCAGTGGTTGGCGGCTCAGAGAGTGGGAGTGGCTTATCTGGAGCGTATCGGGGATCACTGCCGGTAAAAGCATAATCATAGAATTAAAAAAAGGGAAGTGGCCGAGAAAACCAGAAAAAAAAGCACATTTGCATTAGATACTGGCAAGTGGCCTCGGGTTTCACTACTTGGTCTACAGCACACACCATAAAAATGATTTCATTAGCTTCCAGAAGGTTCCATAACTACAGTGAAGGAAAAAACACAGGATGATAATTTAAATTCTTCTCAATGTTATTCCTGTAACTGAAGGTCTCTAATATTACCGCAGTACAGCACCTGGAAAATGGCCCATACCTTTGACAGTCACAGATGCGCTGTAGTTGCCATAGTACCGCGTGTCAGTGCTGGGGGTATAGCACTCGTAGCGCCCCTGGTCTTCAGGCTGCAGCCTCTGCACCACCAGAGCGGCCCGGTCACCCGAGTCCCTCTCCACCCGCACCTCGCCCGAACGGACGCGGGGCTGGAAGGGGGCGTAGGAGAAACCCCGGTCCTGCGTGGAGATGACGCCGATCTGCTGGCTGCCCGAGTTCTCGCGGTACAGGAACCACTCGAAGTTCTGCATGCGCGGGCCCTCGTACCCGGTCACTGAGCAGGGCAGTGTCATCGGGAACCCCGCCACGCGGTACAGCGGCCCAGCGGGGACGGTGACGTCGCGGCAAAAGACACACTGGAGCACTGCGAGAGAGACGGACAGCAGGGAGTGAGGCCAGGCCGTTTGTAATCCACATGCCACACGGATGATCACATTGTTTAAAAGGAACTAAATTATATTAGCGGAAAAGTGAAGCCAAAATATCTGTATGTATAGATAACTTCCTCTTCTGGTAAATGTTCTGGTAATCCTTTTTAAAACATATTATGAGTCTAGCTACATAAATATACTACCTATTAACTTTTAATAATAATAATAATAATAATAATAATAATAATAATAATAACAATAATAATAATCAATTCTTTATTGTCCCTCAAGGGGAAATTGTTTTTACGCCTCCCTCAACTTGCTCTTTGTGGAGCATGCTGTCCGCGAAGGGCAGCCACCTGTAGCGGCGCCCAGGGAGCTGGGGGTTAAGGGCCTTGCTCAAGGACCCGCAGACATGCTGAGGCTGGGTTTGAACCGGTGACCTTGTGATTACAGGCACACAGGCTTAGCCCACTGAGCCACAAGCTGCATAAAGCATAAAATTATGAAACAGAAATATTACAATGTATATGACTATATTTCTGGTAGCCAGCGTTCATTATTCAAACGACATGACACATCTTTGGATGCCAAACCAATACCCCACAGATCCTAATTCAATTCTTTATGACATGACTGGAATTCTGATATCCAGGGAAAATAATTCAACTTCTGCAGTATGCTTTTGAATTCCTGACCGAAATCCAGAGCTCCTAACTCAACTTATATGGTTTTATATTTCTAACTTTGGTCCTTTCACACAGGAACGGGTTGTGTGTTATCAGGAGATATTTGTTCAAAATTTGAAACGGCGACCACGTGTTTAAAAAACTGATCTTACGGGCCGATAAGAAAACGACCATTGCGCCACCAAAAGAAATGTCGATAGACCTGAAACCCGAGGCAGGTTTTACTTCCTGTACTAATGACAAACGTCCATCTTGGTGCCCCTTTCAAATGGGTTTTTAGATAATTACTGGCCGAATTACAGCCATGATTTAAAGTCTAACGAATCTTGCATGTTACACTTAAAGAAATGGCTGTACAATAAAACGGCACATGATATTTCTCATCGTTCGTTATTCTGATGCAAACGCGTACATTTCGTTTTATTTCTCCAAGTAACCCCTTTAGATGAATTATTTTCCTGCACACACACACACACACACACACACACATACACACACATATATATATAGCCGCCTCTGACAAACGCAGTAGTTTATGCAGTCTACAGAGCTTGCGTCCAGCAGCGTATTAGAATCACTGTAAAAATTACAAGGTAATACTAGAAGGTATTACTTAAAAGTAAGCATCACGGAAGAGTAAAGAAAACGGGCGCATGAAAAACCAGATATCGCTGCAATGTTACATAAATAAGTGGCTCCGGGGAGACAGACGACTGTGCGAGCAGACAGTCAGAGGGCTTAGGCGGATAAAGCGTTACTGACAGCGGGGCCTCGACACGGGCTGATACGGGGCTACGACGGGAAAACGGCGACGGGGACCCATGCAGAAATGTACACATGCGGGGGTTTTCAAGGGGAAAGTGTGTCCTAATGAAAGCGAACTGTCTGAAGGAAGGAATAAAGGTACAACCAACGCTACTCATGTTATACACGTGAAAACAAGAAAACATTTGGCTTTCATATCTACTATTAAGAAACACAGTGTAAAATATTAATATAATGTCGTGTTCCACTTTATGGAAATGAATCTAAATACTTAAGATTCATTTTCTTGTAAATCAATATACATGCTTTTTCTTATAAATCAGTTATGTATTACAATATATTAAGCCGAGAGGGACAAATTAATTAATTTCCCCTTTCCTGCTTTGGATTACTCTGTATTTTATAATGCGCCACTAAAATCAGGAGATGGCAAATGTGACAATGACGATATTGCGTTATCGATTCCTTTCAAACCGAAGAAATCAGACATTGGGAACAAATCGTTGTCGCGCATTTCCCATTACGGAATGGGGTGGATTAAGTATAACAGATGGAGATACAAGAGGAGACAGGAGCGACTCCTCATAAACACAGAAATGTATTACCGGGCATAACTCACCCCACGGCAGGCACAGCAACGCTGACAGGCGTGATTCCATCCCGGAGTGCTGGAACGAAACGAGAAAAAGGAATGAAACGAGCAAAAGGACCGAAATCAGCGGCGGATCGAGCCACCGCCGATCATCGTCACGCCCACAAACTCAAAAAAAGATGAACGTCCAAAAATGTACACGTATGGCGTTAAACCAATTAAAAGACCAGCGACTATGGTTATAAAGTAGGCGATATGTTACCACGAGTTGCTGATAATAAAACAAATCTGGTTGATGAGAAGACGCCACTATTGCACAACGCGCATCATAGTTTCCCAGTTCGTCTAGGTACTTTCAATCCTTTAATCGAAACCGAAGGATCCCCCAATAGTTCCCTCCCAATCCGTTTCCTAGCAGCCCAAAAGACCTCTAGCGTATTAATGGAGAAACAGAAAGTCCCAGCCTGAGGCGGGACATTAACACATCCTCTGTTTTCGCTCCCAACAAAAAAATCAACGTACTTGCTTCTTATTGGTCAGAAACCAGATATACGCGCCGGAACCAATCAGATCAGATTGAGTTTAGTTTTTCTGAATAACAAATCTCACCAATCAGTTCCCGTATTAACGTCAATATCTAGGCCAGCCCCTCCTCCCACGGCTCTATCACACAACTCTCCCGCAGTAATTCAATATCAATCTAAGCCAAGCTTTTATTCTACGGATGTTTATAGTGTTACTCCTCAATCAGTAAACCTGGATTTAAGAGGATTACTGTAATATTAATGACCACAATAACAGTATCACCAATAATTTCACCATCAACTTCATCAAGTTATGTCACATACACAAACAGACTACACGTGTGAAGCGATATGCCTTTTCCAGCTGCTTTCTGGATTGTACTCGAAATGGAAATGAGTAATACAAAGAAAGATAATATAGAAAAATAAATAGGAATAAACAAGATTAAAATGGCAATAATAATTAAATGAAAAAGTTAAATAAGTCGAAAATAAAAAGCAACGATATCCGTAACTGCTGCGTTGGTGCCCCGTCGCGGGTCATTCCCTGCCTTGCGCCCGTAGCAGTGAGGATAGAAAATCCATGTATGTATGGATATACGTAACTGTATTTACAAAAGGCAATAATCAGGAAGATGTCAAATGAAAAGTGAAGGATGGTACAAAGTGCGTAAAGTGGCGTATAAGTCACTGTAAGTCCTTTTGTGTACGGACAGCCGGAGGGTAGAAACGTGCCCTGAATCTCTCGGTTTTGCCATTCAGGCTGCGGGAGTACCTCTTTGACTGCATCATCGGGGAGGGCTGAAACTAAATTTTTTTCTTTGTCCCAGCACCTCCTCCCGTAATTGCAGGTAAGTCAGAACACACGCGATGATTAATTCGGTCATTTAAAGGAAACTGAATCATATTTGATACGCCATAGTAACCTATAACTCAACTTGGGCACTGCAGTCACCCATGACGCGTGTGCAGCCTGCTGGTGAACCTGTGCCTGCAGCTCAAGGCACGAGGCTTGGGTGTGAGTTTTGGTTCTGTGTTGTCTTGGTTGGCCCTCGAGTCTCTGAAACTAATGATAGGGTTTTATTATTCTCCTTCAAGAAACACCCCATGACCCATCTGTTCCAGGAACACCTCTGCTAGCTTGCTCCACTCCATGTTTCCTGAATGCTTTTAGGATTACATTTTGTCAGCTGATTTCTATAGCTTTCTTATAGGTTCTTACACCATTTATAAGATATTGTGTAGCTCTTCCGCCTATGCTGCTTACATTTGTTCAATGGAATTTATTGGAAGCTCAGCCTAGCTGTACTTATTAGCCTAGTTGACTCCTTGACAGCATGTATATTTGAAATATGCTTTATGCCTCACTTGTATGGTGCATTGGACAGAAACATCTGCTAAATACATAGAACTAAATGGCATTTATTGCTTATTAAGACATTTGCTGGAGTCAGGAAAAGTTCCTTGATAGCAGAAATGACTCAAGAATCCCCTATAAACTAAATGAAAATCTATTTCATATATTTCATGTATGAAATATTTGGGATTTGGGTATATAAATGATTTGTAAACTTCTTGGACAGTGTGTGGCTCAGTAGGCTGCGAGGCTTTGCCTGAGAGTAGAAGGTTGCTGGTTCAAATCCCATGATTTGCGGAGTGATTCGACTGTTGGGCCCTTGAGTGAGTCCATTAACCCCAGTTTCCTGAGGGACTGGCTCACCCTGCCTTCTCAGTTGTACATTCCTTTAGATAAAAGCGCCTGCTAGATAAATAAATGTAAAATGTGACGCAAATGTTAAACACGAGACTCGTGTCAGTAATGTGTCCACCTCAGAGCATGACCAATACTGGAAAGACACCTGTGCCCATTTACTCAGCAGCAATTTGAGGAGCCTGGCAAAGGTGTGAACCAAAATGTTAACATCACCTAGAGAATGCAGAATTAAGTCGTGCCACGCTGTTGCTTACTTACTCTCCCTGTTATGCCTGACAGGCTTTGGCCATATGCCAGTAATGTGTCCTGAGATGCTAACTCATTAGCACCCTCCAAAGGCAGGAGGGCTTATTGCGCATCACAAACTGGCCATCGCTAACAGCTTTCAGCACTGCATCATGGTGGGAATCTTCTAACAGTTGCTTTTTTTGGGTGCTTTATCCAAGGTAATTCCTCCTTAAATTATTGTGTCCAAGGTCCAGCCAGCTGCTGAAGCAATTCTGAGGATTCGCGGTAGTACCAAACATCCTTCTGATGGAACTCTTACTGGAAGCTCCTGGTCACACTGGTTGGGATTCTGTAGAGTAGGACTGAGTGATAAGGCAAAATATTTTTCACAACATCAATAGCAATAATTTTCATTATTTACTGTATATGATATTACCAAAATGGCAGTATGAAGTGTGTTCTGCTACCTCAATCAACCATGCAGTGCTTTTGTTGGGCGTCGGTTGTCTGTTCTGTGTCAATGTTGTTATGGAAATGGTACTATTTTTAACAAATTGTCCACTCATCAGTCGATCAAGCAAACTATCCATCGACGTGAAGGATGTTCAGTTTCCGGTTACCAGTATGACTGAATTTATTTGATCGTTTCCATGTGCTGATATTTTCAGACCACATGTTTCGTGTTGGGTGCGGGCCGCGGGGGTGGCGTACCCATTAGGAGCAGTGAGAGATTTCCCAGTGGGTGGGGACACGTGGTGCTGAGAAAGAAAGGAAGAAGTGAAAAAAGGCACCGAAAAATTCAGCGTTATTTAGAAGAGGTGAAAAAAGATGTAGCCTGCTAACGTTACAACACTGTCTTGGGTCACGACTTAATGTAGCTAGCTAGCTAGCCCATGTGGCTGGCCCTACAGTATGTCATACAGTCCAAATGCTTTGGGTCATAGTGTTATTAACATGCTGTTCTTAATTGAAAAAGTAAATAAGAAAGTGGGATTACCTCATTCCAAAGCTCACACTGATGAAAAATCATGTCTACAGAGAAAGACATTCTTATGCAGGGGGTGGAGTGGGACTGCCTTTAAAAATGTATGCTAGTAACTAAAATTATAATAAACACTGGTATCATGTGAACACCACACATAAATGTCAGCTTTCTAATCAAGTGTCGGTGTAGTGCTAATACTTTATTTTTTATTTTCTGAAATAGCGTTATTAACATAATCCAGTGCCTAAAATGCACTGTGTTTGTAGAGCTATTAACATAACGCTACAAACCCAATGCATTTTAGGCTATATGACATACTTTATCAGCACATGCGCTAACTAGCTGACTATTTTGCTCACACCTACAGCTATTGTTCTCATTGCCAAAGGCAGCGTCGTAAGCAGGGACGGAGTGGGACGGTGACGATATCTGACAGTGACTCATTGGCGATTATCGCCTTTGTCAGGCTAGTAGGCTTCCACACACCAAGCTAGAAAACAGAAAGATTTATGATTTGGCTTCTAGCCTATGATTCTGATGCAGTTTTAAAAAAATAAACACACTGACTACTTTTTCACCACTGGTCTGCAGAGAGTTTAATTCTTTCTGAGGTGATATACGGTATAAAAAATGTTAGAATGGGCGGAGCTTGCAGGCGGGATTTGGAATTGCATGGCTGTGACAAAGATGGGGCCTCCCTGAACCAATGCATGACATATGGCATGAATATCCACAAGGTTCCCCGGGTGTATTTGTCCCCCAGATCTCTACTCAGAGTCCTACAATGGCTAAAAGACCTGTACAACGTCAGCACTACTTTATTTTAAACAGCTACTGCCTATGGTAAATGTGTGACTGCTATGTTGTACCTGGTGAACAGACTTGAGTGGGTCTGTGCTATTTGAGGAGTGCTGAGGTGGAAACAAAACCTTGGTCTGGATTTGTACTTTCTGGACCCGAACTTTCCACCGCTTTTGGAGTGAATACCTGAATGTCTGTTACTGGAGTCCCAAACGTGCAGTTGCCTCTTGTGGATCACCTGCGGTACCATGCAGATTCCTGCTGGAATATACTCTGAGAGGGGTGAAGCAGGAAGTGAGAGAGGGCCAGGCGTCATGCCCAGCGGAATAATGCTACCATAAAAGCTGTCCATACCAGCTGTCCTGGAGTATTCCCAGAAAGGAGCTGGGGTCCCTGTCTCTTATCAAAATTATCCAGCAGACACCCAGGTCATTCTAGCCTGTCCCAGGGCAAAGTCCAAGCATGCACTAGCCTGGGACCAGTGGGAGATGGGCATGTTGAAAGAAGAGCTTATGGAGGGGGTCTGGAAGGCAATGAGGGTGTAGATTGATGCTGGCAGCCATCTGCATTGCATCCCTGTGCTGCTGGAGGACAAAGGCTTCCACTGCTGGCTGCTGGGAAAACTGGCAGCAGAAGATCAGCAGAGGTGGAAAGTTCAGGTCCAGAATGTACAAATCCAAACTCCATAAGAGCTACGCAGCATTTAATATCTTTGTCCTGCTTTTAGTAGTGAGGCGTTCTTATAAATATATTAGAATATCATACAGTTCCAGAAACTAAACAAAATAATGGCTAATGGATAAAAAATTTGCAACTGTTTACAAATTTACAACTGTTGAATTACTTATTCCAATCTGTAATACAAAATTGTTTGTTGCGTTATTAAAACTTCCTGGCTTGTGTAGGTGTATTATTCTTCTGCATAATGAAAGCCTTGATAAAGTAATTTGTCATAGTCCTTCAGTTTCAATGGGACAGAATTTAATTAGCAGGTTATTATTAATAAATAAAATTTACTGACAATTGAATAATTGAATATTGATTTGAATTTATATTCCCCATTAAGTAACTACAGGCCACCTGTGAATGTAGCTGTCACGACTTGGGGGACAAAGGACACGAGGGCAGGCATTATGGTGAAACAAAAGAGAGTTTATTGAACTCAAAGAACAGAAGACTGGAAATAAACAGAATTTTAAAGGATCAAAAAGGGAGGAGTGGAACAAGGAAGGACATGGGCAACAGGAGGATTCAATGTCAGTGAC